ATTGAGCTCATTAGAATAGTGATTGGTTGGTGAGCGCGCGTGTGTTTGTGCACACTGCGCACGCTGTGTGCATTTCCATATTCCGTATACATTTGCAGCGCTCGTAAATTTCATCGTTTCGAATCCATTTTCAACACTCAGTTCATTACAGTCGAGTTTTGGTTTTTGCTCCATATTATTCAGTACGCGGTTTATTTTCGGTCTAGCGATAAAGTGCGATAAACGAACCCAATATTTCTTTTGTTCGGTTTTTCCGTCATGAAATTAACCACTCGGAATGGTTACGTTAAATGAGCGACCTTCGTCATCGAAATTACGGCGCCAACTTACGTACATGCCTTCTAATCACCATTCTTTATCGATTTTTTTTTCAAATTTCTCCATAGCAATTTGATTCCAATTTTACCATAATTTTGTTACATAAATTGGGCGAAGAAAATGCGCTTTGCACAACCATTGACGTCAAACGATATGGAAAAGCATTTAAGAATCATTAAACGGCTTCAATTCACAAAACCGCTCGTAATAATTATCATTAATATCCATTTCTCTTCATGCACATTGCGCTATAGCCTTGCGCCAATTTTAATGATACATAGTACATATGTCCAACGAGGCAAAAAAAAAAAAAACGATTTGGAGTCAGCAAACTCGGTGTGTTATCAATTATGGACCAATTTATATTGGAACTTGGTTACTTTCTTCTCTCGCACTTTACATGCTACTTTTTGTGTTAATTGAATTAATGAGAATCCATAGAAATCCATGCATACTAGTGATCCCCGCGTGCCGCGCGTCACATCATCCTTTGTAACACACAATGAATGCGTTTCTATGGCAAAAATGATTTTATTTATGAAAGCAACGAATCTGATACGGTACACGGAAATAGCAACCCGTATTTCGACTATTTGGCTCCTTCGTTGCAAGATCCAAAACAAATAAATCAAAATAACAATGTCTATCAAGCTCGATCGAATTTGGTAAACGGATCTGATTTCCTATATTCAGTAGTTCGGGGAAGAAAATTCATTGTTTATTCACTGGAACACATGGTCAGACCAATTCGGAAAATGATTTGCTATCGGCGTACAACATCTGTCCCGAATCTCAGCATCGGAATTCAGAAGAGCATTGTAAAATTCCATCAGGCACAAGACAGCAATTTGTTTGCTATTTTCCCGAAAATAAAAGTGTGTTGTGAGTGGAATGCTGTGTTTGGGGCGGCTACGTGCATGTTGATCTAGGAGGGAAATCGTGAATATTTTTTTTGCGTGACAACAATCTCTTCTCTTGGCACGGCTCAAATTTATTTTCTCTCTGGAGATAGATTGCAAGAGCCAGTGTTTTGAAGTTGTCGCACTAACATATTGTTTATTATGTGAAGATGTGTGTCGGGCATGTATTAATCCAACGCTCAATTCGAATGGAGAATCTGTTCTTCTTCTTCTGCTGGGATGACAACTGCCATATACGATAAAAACGTGCATACCGTTGCGATATTTAACATATGCATGACAATTCCAGCCTCAGTCTCATTTGCTCTGAATTTAGTTTAAGTCGTCGCAATATTCAACGCCATCAATGTTGTCACCGATGCTGTTAACACGCTTACCCAACAAACACACATACCAAAATACTCAAAACAGCACATACACATTCAGTTGCTGTCACATTGCTCACACAATAAACTATCCAATAATCTCAAGTGAATGCTTTCGTCTGTTGTTGCTTTGTGTTTGTTTGCTGTTATTATTATCTTAAATCAAAACATAAATTTACTAACGCTATCATTATTATATACAACACGCTGCCGTCACATGTAACCGAGTAGTCGTACAGAGAGAAAGAGAGAGAGGGAGAGAGAGAGTGTGAGGAACAAATACATGGAATAAAAAATGACTCCCCGTTCATTCCATTGAATTCAAACGAAGGTGCAGTCCATTCAGCTGCAACTGAATGCAACGATGCAATTGCGCACACACCAAGACCCATTTCAAATAATAAGTGTTTTATGTCAAAGAGTTATATGCGACTCGGCACATATATATATATATATATCTTGTATATTGCTGTCGTTTTGTTTGTTGATCGTGTGAGCGCGCGCGAGAGAAAGAAAGAGAAAGGAAGAAAAGAACTCATTCAAATGTAAATAAAATGTGTTTTTTTATGTGATTGTATGACATTTCAATTTGCAGAACAGAGTTAGGAGCTCCACGGCAAAGTGAGCAAAGAAACAAAACAGAGACTACAGCCAGAACAGAATGACCATGAACGTGGCGCATTTAAATCAACTCACACGTACATTTGAAGCAAATAAAAAGCGTGTCAATGTTAAACGATAAACGAACAATATTTGACGTACTTTGTAAATAGAATATAGCTACGAAGATAACAACAGAAGAGTCGAAAAGTGTCCGATATTCATGAGAGGGTGACGAAAGCAAAATGAAATTGGTTCAACGAAAAATTGAGTGAAACAGTCGCCGTTGGTTTTAATTAATATTTATGGAGATTCGATGTTTCCCCAATCATTAATTATGTACACGCTGCGTAAATCGCAAGTACAGCACAAGCAGACGTGTAGAGAAAACCAGTGTGCGCTGTATGCTGAGAGAAATACGAAAGTCAAGAGATGTTATGTAGAGACTGATAGCGAATAGCGGTCGTCGTCGTCATCATCGTCGCCTCTTTCTTACTATTCGGTTACTTTTGCTCGCAATTTCTTGTTTCATTTTATGGTTTCGCATACAATTTCTTCACTTTATGATGTTCTTGTGTTACTTGCGACACATTGTTGATGAAAATTTATAACCGAAGATGAATGAGTCAAATCCAGTGCAAAGCTTTTTATCACCATAAATTCCGATTATACACCCAAATTCCAAAGCACAAAATGTTGATATGGAAAACTGGTTATTTCGTATTTGTTGTTGTTGTTGTTGCTGCTGCTGCTGTCATTCGATCATAAAATGCAAGAAAGTATGGTTACAACTTTAAAGCTGCGTATGACGAAACCAGAAAAATTTCATTGAATTAGTACCTATAATGGATTGTGATTTTTTTTGTGTGTCTGACGCTTGCCCATTTTATGTGCGTTTGCAACAATTGATAGCTTTTTCCCCCTGTGTGTATGCATTGAATACTTTTGTGATGATTAAAAGTGACAAGAGCACAAATAAATGTAATAATTTTCTAGAATTCAATGAGGTAATCAATTTTGTTTGTGTTTATGCCTTGCTTTATCGTACTTGCTACGGCTGCTAGTGATTCACAATGCAGAGATGTGAAATTTCAAAAGTCAATTCAGTTGATAGCACAGAGCAAAAATACCCTTTTATAATCAAATTCAATGTTGATATTAGAAAATATCACACATTTCAAGTGTGTGCGCGTTTGTGTACTGGTTGCCTTGAAGCATGAAATTGTTTCGAACAGAATGTTGACTCCGACATTTCTTGAGAATATGTTTTATTTTTGGCATGCAGACGACTTGCAGACAACGGAGCAACAAAGTCGTTGCTTGTGATAGAGGAATCGTTATTCGCTTCTTTTCTTTTTAATAAACGCACCGAGCATGATACGAACACATAAAGTGCACTTCATCGACATGTCGATGTGTAGAAATAGACCGCAAGCATTTAGCTACTGAGTGACAAAGTGGAGAAGAGATGATGATGGTGATGCGTGCTAGAGCTTCAAGTTTTTTTTTACCGTTGTCGATTTGCTGTTACCCATTGCCAGCATTCTCGCAGCGTGTACAGTGTACATGCCCAATGACCTATTGTTCTTGCTGTGTGAGGCGGAATCCGACAGTACTCCACATCTATATTGAAGCGATGGAAAAAGAATTGAGTGCCATCGACTGCTTCTAGTTTTTTAATCAAGTCGCCCACTCGATTTGTGTGTGTGACTTTTGTACACCATATTTTCACCCGCATTTCGATGCAATGAACGATCGATACCACATTTCCAAGCCATTTTTTTCACTTTTATCCCTTTGTTTATCATTTATTAAACTTTGAGAGAAATTCGAAGCGTATTGGGCAAAGTTGTATGAGTATTGAACACGAACACATGAACCAAGACTGATAAGCACTAAGCTCCATTAAATGTATGAAGCCAATGTGCTATATGATTCGATTAGATAATGAAAGAAAGCAGTTTTGGTATCGATTGCTCCAAACCATGCGTCTGGTTACTTTTTTCTGTTTTTGTGGAGCCAATCAAATTCAAGAAGCCGCAACAACCTCGTCGTTGTCTCAGACGACGAGCAACAGTTTTTGCAAATGAAATGCAAATATACGATTACATATGCGGGCCAAAAAAAGTCGAGCCACACGTCAGAAGCCCTCGATAGAGTCAAGAAAATTTTCCACTTTTGTTTGCCTTCACATTTTGACTGGATCAAACTTAAGACGTTTTGCTACTTAATTATTTGGACTATTGTACCAGCTATTATTTTATTACGTACTTAATCATCATAAACCGATCGAATTTGGATTTACTCAATATCGATTAGGGCAAAAGAAAACACCGAACGAATACAGTTTATCAGATTTCAGTTTATCTTTTGGTAAAATGTGAAAAAAAACAGATTGAATAAATCTTTCTCCGAAGAAAGATGTTTGATTCAAATTTCCGTTGGTTGGTTGGTCTACCGTCAAATGGAAACGTATTAAAAGACTTTCAACAGCATGTAACCTCTCGTTGAGTCAACACAATTGAACATGGAATGGCAAGAAGTATGTGAATGAAGATGTTGCCATAGACCAAGAAAAAAATGATGTTGGTCGGAAAGGCCGCCGCAAGCCTTTGAAAAAATCATAATCAAACGGAAATATTTATGAAGGAATGTGTACTCAGCGGTAACCAAAACAAGACAATCGGCCAAGGTGAAGGTTTTCCACGATGCGGTTGAGTGGATGGTACCGTGAAAACGGTTTTTTATTTTTTTTTTAATTACGAGAAAAATCAATAGAGAAAACTGTGAGACTCACCACGTTGCTGACCGCGGTTGCGTTTGAATTGCCAATTTGTGCTCTCCATGGATCTCCTGAATTTGCTAACGGCATGTTACAATGTTCGCATATAACAAACTATTTGACATACACTAGTTAATTTTCGTTAGAAAATCAACGCTCATGCACTTATTATGAACACAAACACACACGAACCGAAATAATTAGACAATGCAAAACGTTGGAGTGCGACCACGAAATTGCTTGAGCAATGACACGCAATTTTGCAAACTAGAACTTATCAATTTACTGGAAAGAAAATTAACAATGTTGATACAATGCTGAACCAAACACGGCGTGAATGTGGAGTATTTAAGGTGAAATGGGAGTGTTACTTTCGCTATTATTCTTATCAAAGTTCGTTTGTTTTACCAATTTCTCATTTTCGTGGGGCCACACGTTTATTGCAGCAAAACCATTATTCACAACGGGCAACGTATTTTTCTGACATAATACCCCGACGATGGGTCGACTGCTTTTTTCCACTTTCTTTAAATTTCAACTCACGCACGTTGCTTGTTATTAGACGTTATGTTCTTTTCTTCATTTATTTTAAGTCAAGGATTTTCACATCGGTGAAATTGAATTACATTCATTAATGTAAGAAAAAAATTCTTTTTGTTCCTTTTTTTTATGTGCAAGCAAAAATCGCCGCTTAAATTAAATGTCACGATTTTAAGAGTTCACTTAAAATAACCGATCGCATAAATTATTTAACCGAACGGCGCAGCGTAATTGGTCGTTCGTTTCGGATTTCGTTGTTGATCTTCTACCCAACAACAACAACAAAAATGAAAATAACAACAAAAAATATCTTAAAAAACTACGTCGTTGACGGTTGTGTGTCGGTCTAAGTCCAATTATATCGAATCGTTCATTTAATTTGGCCTGTTCACTGTTGTGTTTTGCATAAACACGCAAGATGTGAATCGTGCATTCAATTCATTCACATCCTCGACCGTTTCTGTTCAGAAATATTCACGTTGGCGGCAACAAACAACCAAAACATAAATAGACAAATCGTGTATATACAATTACGCGTGTGTGTTGAAAACTTTCACTTGCGACGCTGAAAAAAAACTTAGAGACAATCAAATGCAACTTTTTCAGCACCAATAGAGATAACCGATTTGAACAGAAACAGCCGCAGCAACAAACAACACACTGATATATTTTTTTCTATTCGAGATCCGCGCGAACAACAACCGCCGCCGCTTGTAGAAAATGTATGCAGACTGAATATATTTTGACGGCGAGTGTGACTCGAATCGCCGCTCTCAACGTTGTGTAAGAGGATATAAAAAATTCACCGTATGTTTATGATTTTTCGGAATTTTCCGATTTATCAATTGATTCACTTAATTTGGAACACAGGAAATGGATTTTTTCGGAATAAAAAAGTACCCAGTTCCCTTCACAACGTATTAATTTGTTGATTGAATTCTTGATTTCATCTGACTCGAAGCAATTTAATTATGTATTTTTTTCAACTGATATCAACTCTGACGACTGACTCTCTACACTCGATGCGCCACAAATACTCACTAAATCACAATTAATATTTATAAAAACGATAAGAATTGATAGGGAAAAACGAATCGTTTGTAGTTTTGTGTCCAAAAAACACGATTTTTATATCAAAGAGCGTCCCATCTGTATCGTTACGAGAATGACTCTTTTTGTCAGAAAATAAAAGCGGATTGGAATTCTGTGTGTGTTGATTCTCTATTTTTTTTTCGCTCGTTCGACGGAACGTTTTTTCTTATTATTAGCTTCCAATTATGACAGCAGTCGCATAAGAACTAAGTCCATTGGATGATTTCATGGATGGAAATACACATAGATTTTTGTTGGCTGCGGCCACAAAACGAAAGTGAGACAGAGATAGAGAGTAATCCTCATATAAATTGGAAGCAAGTGTTGAGTGCGCAAATGTGATAGTCGTTGTAGATATGAATAAAATCTGTGGAATGTGCTGGGGTTTCGTTGTGTGCGTGATGTTTATATGGTGTTCAATTGAAAACAACAAACTCACACAGATGCAGTCGCATCGCAACAAATGTCATCCAATGACGTATGGGAACTAGAAATCTCTTCATCGAAATGCTTTGAATGGGATTTTTTTCGTTTGCTGCTGGTGCTTTATTTGTGCGTTGTACAATATCCAAGCGTAAGATGGCATTGCTATGCATGATGACGATGATTCAAACATTCAAAATCAGCTGTTCGTTTTGCTTTTAGCAACGCAAACGATGGGAACCGTATATTAGCTTTGTTCGTGACTGCCTATGCTAATATATTAGTTCAGTTGAGATCAATGTGTGTGATGGGAATGGGAAGTGTATGCGTGTAATGCAAACTGGAAAGAAGAAAAAAAAACGAGGCACCGTAATAATTGCGTTCGTTACCATCGCAGCTAACAGGCAGATGTGCTCATCCACATAACGAAACACATTCTATGCCAATATGAAACATAACGAGTGCATCATTTTTATTTTTCATTATCAAGTGAATAATTTCACCTTTATTGTTGATTTGTGTTCACTTTCCATTTTCAAGTTCGATATTCATGGCATGCGGTTTGGAAAATGATGTTTGCCCGAGACGAATAACAAACAAGTGCACATTGTTATCCAAATCACCATAAAACAACATCAACATCGAACGAAAATTCATTTACAGCTCAATCTCATCGAAACCGTTTATTATAAAGTTTTGATATATGCTTTCTATGTTCATCAACAGCCATGCATTTTGAATAGAAACAAAAAATTTCTCAGAATGTCGAACAAAAACAAATAAATGCGTTTAGAAAAAATTGTAACAAACGGTATTTCGCATTCAAAACTATGCTTCCAAATGAAGAAGAATGTGTATACACACGAGAAAAAAAACCAACAGAAAAACGAATTGAATCTATTTAGCCCTATTGCCATGGCAAAACATACGCTTCAGTAATGTGCTTCAATTAAATCGAACAACAACAGAATGAAAGACGAAAAAACCGACGAAACAACGTTGAAATACAAACAAATCGAAATGAACAGTGTCGAACGAAGGCTTGATGGGAAGTAAATGTTTTGCGTGTGCAATACACAACACACCGAATTCGAGCAGTGAACGCTAGACGCGGTTTGTCGAAGATAATCACATGCTCACTACCACACACACACACACACGGGCGCGTTCACACAAACCAAACCGACAATACCAATGCATTCGCGCGGTCGTTTCAAGTCCGCACACATCCGACAGGGAATTGCTATGAGCGCATCGTTGAACTATCGTCGTCGTTGTCGTATGTATGATACTGCGATTAAACCGAACGGATGAACGAACGAACGAGAGGAAAAAACAACAACAGCAACACACAAAGTGAAAAAAGGGAACGAAAAACTGTGTGTGGCTGGTTGGCTGGTTGTGGTGTATGCATGTTCTTGGTACGTTTGTTTGGAACAGTAGCCTCAGTGCAGCTGAAAACACTGTTTCGTTCGCATCTATTGTGTAACGGGATCGACAACGCACACGTTTTTTGTTTTTATTAGAGAAAAAAAAAATATATATACACATAAGTACGTACACTGATGTTGCAATCATTAAAATAATAAAACGACGAAAAGTGTTGGTTTTGATTCTGATTTTGGAAAGTGTTCCAGAATATTTTTACGGAAGAAAATTTGTGGATTTTTTTCTAGGTTATATTTGGTGGTTATTTTGTGTGTGGAAAAAAAACGTTAGTAAATTGAATTGGTTTTGTTTTGGACGAATTTTTGAATATTCCGAAAATGATACGCATTTTTGGCATATCAAAAATTTAGATCAAAATTTTGTGGTGTTGTTGTGTCTGGTGATGGTGATGTAAAGCGTTGGCATTTTACTGCTCTTCATCATGGGGAAATTTGTTGTGTGTGTGTGTTTTTTTTCTCCTTCTGTGCAACGCAATCGCTTGCGAAGGAACGGTTCATGCATGCCAAAAGAGTACAGTTAGATTTGCTAATCAAATTTTGGATATAATATCCGGCGATATTTATAGAATCATAGAATTATATCGATATGTACAGCTGCGTCTGGAAAAAAACTAATAGACAGACAAAGACGGCTTTTCAGTGGCATATTGCTCGCATATACCATAAAAAAAACAAACGGCACACAAGATGTGTTCTTTCATTACACTTTATTGTTATTTAATTCTTTCATTTGTTTTGTTCAGTTCAGCTCCTCTTCTTCTTCTTTCTAACGCCCATTCGGAATTTAAAGCATTTATTAAATGAAAAGAAAAACAATGACATAGAAAAGCCTCAATCCAAAATCCAAATGGAATCGCATTCAATGAATTTCGCCGCACGAATAGAAGGCGATTCATGCATGAAAATGTGTGTATATTGTGCTAAAGTAACGAGCTGAACACGATTCTTTTTGCTCGATCTCTCTCAAAATATATTATATATATAGGTTTGTCTTGGTTTGTTTTTGCCATGACGTAATCTACATGCGATTTTTAGCGATGTGTAAATTATTTAAATTATTTATTAATGATGGGAACATAAAGACAACGACGATGTTAATGCTTGCAATTGTGGCATTAGAGAAATTCTATTTAGTGCTTAATAATAACACATAATGGATTCGATGACCTAACCAAACGACAGACAGCAACAATATCAGCCCAAGTTACGTTAAACTCGGATACAGTTCAAAGTGAGAACAAAGAGAGGGTTGTCAAAACGTGCAACTCTATGGCACATGGACACGCTACCATCATGCTGCATCTTTTCCAAAACTTGTAATCGGTGCCATACACTGTAATATGTACAGCACCTCGAAGAGCGAGAAAAAAAAGAAGAGAACGCATTCGCTTGGGAAAAATGTGTGCGAAGGCCTTTTCGCCACTAAATCCTGATTCTTGTTTAGCAGCTTGCTACCCTAATAAAAACCATCGAAACACACGCTTTTGCTGTGTATACTTTTATCGCTTCGGCTGGTGTTCGTTGGAAATCGCGCGCGCTTTGCCAAACTCTCCTGTTTTCATCCACACACTGTGCAGTACTCTGTACGTACAAGCAGTACGGCCGTGTGTCATTCATTCCTCTCGCTCCATCGAAACGCGCACTCCACAGAGTCGATTCTTCGTGCCGTTCCATGTGTTTTTCCCTCATGCATGAGTGTGTGTTTGGAATTGGCTACCGCGCGCAACATAGTGACACCGCCTTATTCATACAATACAGTGAGAAATTATATCGTCATCGCCAACATCAACGTTGCTACTGTTGGTGCTGCTGCTGCTGTGTTGCTGCTGATGTTATTCTGTTCTTCTACGAAAAAACAGAGAAAAAAATCAGTCTTTTGTCGTATCAATTTTTTTTATGAAATATTCCAATGTGATTTCAAGTGTGACGACTAAGAGAGGCAGACACATTGCGAGAGCGAAAAACAGAATTGAAGTCATTTGCAATTTGGATGGAGCAAATAAATTGAATGTGTCATTGGAACGTATCAATTTCGAATCAATCATATTGAATTTGTTTTGTGGTTAGTGATTAGTGTACTATTTTCTTCATCATCATCATCACTATCGTCGGCGTCAGTTCTCATTTAAATCAATCGTTGATTTGCAATTTAATTTGCTCGTCCGAAAATAAACGCAGTACGAATTTTTGTCGTTTACTTGAGGGCGACAAACAAGTGGCAAAGAATATAGCTTTTTTTTTTTATCAAAGGCATCAAGTGATTTTTTATAGGCCATTTCACAAGAAAGTGTAAGATAAGATATTTGTGCAAGAATTCGACGAGGAAGAGGAAAAAGATAAAAAAAAATGTGTGTGAATCAACTGCGTCGATAGTTTGATTTGACAAAAAATAGTTCAATCGCCATGCGAATTAAATAATGAATGCATGTGTGTGGCGAAATGAAAGGAAATCGATTGCATTTCTTTTTCTAGGCGACCAAAGACAATAAACGATTAATTACGCATTTACACGCTTGTATGAGATAACGACTCATCGAATGAAAGCATCAAAAGAAAGCAAAAATCAGTATACAAAGGCGCGCACTACAGCGACAACGACGGCGGACACGCGCGACGACGACGACAAACCAAGCATCATTAACACATTTTCAGTTTGCATTCTGATCTCTTTTTTTTCGTGTGGCACAACCACTTGCTATTTAAATCTGTGTGCTAATTGCAATGAATGTTTCACACAGTTTCATAGAAAACGCAATTGGAATTGACTATCTTTTCACTCTTTCTTTTCGTTCATTCTTCGTTGCTATGTCTCGTTGTTGGTTGGGGCCGCAATAAATTCTGGTCTCATTTTTACGGTCTCATCAGATTTTTTCTCTGTTTTCTTTCTTTTCGTTTTCTGTGTCAGCCATTCGTCCATTGTTGCAGAAACATTCCATCCGCATTTTCTATGTGACGCTGTGAATGAGACCAAAGGCCTGCAAAATAGACGTATTGTTATCAAAACTTACACACACATATATCTAATATGTAAAAAATCATTGGTTCGATGTTAAAATCGTACATATTTCTCATATCTACTTGGTTGTGTCAACAATAAGGGAAATGATATATATGTATTTTTTGTGTGATTATCATTACTGATAAAATAATATGAGTTTTCCGTCTGAACTCAAAAAATGAAAGTCTTTTATATAAAAAAAAAACAGAAAGGAAATGGCTTTCGGGGCAGTGTTCGATTGTACTTTCGTTTGCATATCATAGCCATGTTATAATAGATTCGGTGAGCGTTAAAACGTTATAAACTGCGTTTCATTTGGGATCCCTCGCTCACTTACTCACACGCATATGACGAATTGTCCAGCTGCAACCGCATTCATTTCAACAATCATTGTTCATGTTGTTGTTACCGACGAGGCTGTTGAGAATGAAAATAACATCAGAGATTCGAGTCGAAATGAGAAGCGAATGGTTGAGAGAAGAGAAAAAAAGCAATCCGTTATTTGATTCGGTCACGGGAAAGTTAATTGAACGACCTAACAAGCATAAAACATCAATTTCGCGTACGCGACTCATTCGCACTGATACCATTCCAAATGAAACAGTAGCCATGACAATATATCGTCACTATATTTAACACAGCACTGAACAAATATTCCAAAACATGAGCACTGCACATATAGCTCTCGTGGGTGTTTTGTCGGGTTCTCGGTTGATGTAAATATATTCAAATGGAATGAATACACGATCTGTTGAAAATGAGTTGAAATGTACGTGTGTGTCACTGAAGCATAACATTACGCTAAATAATCGAATTGAAGTAGGCAACAATTTACTCGTTGATTTATAATATCAAGCGGTCTATGTGTTTGTATGTCTGTTTCTAATTCATTTGAATATAACAACGAGTGATGAAGCATCCGAAATCGTTCGAGAGAAAAAAAATTGATGGAACACATCCGACGGAAAATCAATCGAGGTTTTACTAAGATTTCATTTGATGAGAGAAAAGAAAACGAAAAGAAGAAAAAAGCAAACAAACAATGAGAACAGCCCAACCATTATTATCCACGCATAAATGGTTTATCGACCAATTGTTACGATGCTACAATTCGCCTCGAATCAGAGCAAAGAATATATTCTTCACATCACGTACATATGCTGTTGTTGCATTTACACGCGCATACATTTGACATACGACTGAAAGGCCCACTAGCAACCATGTTCCATAATTTGTTTCATTTTACTTACATCGAGGCTTCATTTTTTTTTTAAGTACACTCATTGAGCTCGAGCCGATTTAATTCCTTGTACAACATAAAATTCGATAGCCTACTGCGCTTTGATGCTACTGATGAGCTGAAACCAGTGCCCCAGTTAAACCAAAGACTTCGCGCGCGCAATATTATTATAGCATTTTTCTCGCAAGATATTTTTGGTTTGTTTGTCTTTGAGTCTCTGCCTCTCTCGCTCTCCCCATCATTTGAACGCGTGTCTGCGATTCCATTTAAGTTAACAAGCAACATGCTTGTACATGAAAGAACAACACACAAAAAATCGGCTCCATATCTTTTCTCTCAATAGGCATGCTGTAATTGCCGGCCACTTGCTGAACAGTACATGGAATCTCATGTATGTGAGAGAATTCATTTTTATCTCGCGGTCACTTTGTTCTCTAATCGAAAAAAATACATATATATATATAGACAATTTCTCTAGTCAAAATCGCTACTGCGATCAAATTAAGTGTGAAATGTTGTTTATAGCGCATAGAAGCGATGTGACATCTGCGTAATTAAGGACAAACCATGGAGTTGAACAAAATTAAACGAGCTACCGTGTGTATTTGTAAGTCGCTGTGGCTGTGTGCTGTGTAACCATTGACGCAGTCATAAATTTGGTATTTAGTTTCAAAATAACTTTGGTCGATTAGGCCTGGACTGTTCATCATGTTTTTCGTTAATTTATTGGCAACATATTGCACAATGAAATATCCTTTTTTATCCTATTTTGGTGGAGGTTATTTAATCAGTATAGAGTATATGCTCTCACCACACCACTATTTAAATTAGGTGGTAAGCTAGTTAATATTAGAACAGTTTGATTGTGCTGCGATTTGAACAATAAAAAACGGCAGCGAATTTACATTAAATATAAATTGTAGCATTCGATTGTAAAGCTGTGATCTTAACATTGCCCCTATTATTCATTTCAATTGACTCTATCATTTTTATTGATCAAAATGCCGCTTGCTTGGAGCCATGTGTTATCATTAGTTCTGAAAAGAAAACATATAAAAGAAACGCCAATAATAATATAATGAATAAACAAAATCGACTGTATTTCTAGCGACACTCATCCACCCAAAATTGTTTATTTGCACAATCGGGAATTCGGGAAACGCGATGAAATTGCACGCGAAAGTCTTAGCATAGTCGAAGTTGACAGAGCATTTTCCATAATGGATTTGATGTTTTTGTGCTAAGCAGTGGTTAGTAAGCACTGCACCAAAAAGAGTATTACATTACGTAACACATGTTTATTCTTTTGATCTTTGACTTGAGCAATAGAAAAGAAAAAACTAGTTTGAGAATTGTAATGTATACTTTTTGGATGTTCCACATATGTGTCGAAGTGGTATCTATTTTCTCCATATTCCGGAAGATACAAATTCAGTGAGTGCAAATGAAAAAACGGAAACCATCGTAATGGGGACATGGGAAAATAAAACTGAAATCAATACTATTTACCTACTGGGAATGAACGAGCCAGTGCAGAGGCAAAAACACATGTAGTGAATAAACAATGGAGCATTAAAGTGAGCGCCAAAAGACTCTCGTGTGTCATTGTTTCGTCTGTGAGCTTAGGAGTATTATCAGAATGAGCATGTTGGCCGAGTTCATATTTTATGCCACATAGCCTTTTAAAATTGCATTTTTCCATTTTGACTTGGTCGAAATTCAACTTTGTTACACAGAGCTTTCTCCCGACGTAACAAGAGCAAGAAGAAGTGAGAGAAAGATAGGGAGAGAGAGAGAAAGAGAATGAAGAGTACATCGTTTCAATGAAAGTTCTAAAGTACCGTGATTCCATTTGTGCGATTAATGCAGTGAATATGTATGCAAAAGTTGAATGCAAAAGGGAAACGCAAGAAGTAGAGAAAAACACACACACATACACTAAAATTTAGGTTAAAATGCGATGATAAAAACGAAGGCAAGCAAAAATGCAGCAAGTACTAACAAACAGAAGCACATCCATCCAATAAGAGCCACTAGGGTGAAAACAGAAGTAAAGAAACAAATAGAAAATGGAGCAATTGTACAACTCTTGAATATTCAAATAAATATGCCTTTGACTGGGTTGTTATTACGGCTGCTGCTGCTTTTGCGGTTATTGTTGTTGTTTTGCCTGTCGATTTTTCGAACTGATTTTCACCACACACATCGCATCGCACTTGCTTAAAATTTAACGAGATGGCTTTTTGATGATGGGAGAGGGGGGAAAAAACTTTTCCATTTGAAATCAAATCGGTGTCGGTCATTATAATAATTATATTCATGCCGATAACCATAGAGCGTGAACTTTGCATAATCAAGTCGATGACCATTTTATATAAAAAAAAAATTAATGAGCGATTTCTACAGTTTTTAAATTTCTTTTTCATTTCCAGAACTGCCATTATACCATATAAAAAACCAAAAACCATCACTGCCGCTGAAGATGTAGGAAATCATATGCCTGAATTTTGTATGCATTTACACGAATCAACCGCAGTGAACTACTTTATTACATCTGCAACACACGAAATCGAATCATCTTGACGCGATAAGTCAACTATAATGCAAACCGATTACGAACTACCGAAACGACATAATTCGATAGTAAATCACGTAATCGACAAAACTTCATTTGCCAACGAATAAAAATTTTCGTTGAAATACACGACAAAAAGCAAACAAGCGTTCAGCGCACGCAAAGCGTTTTCGATAGAGAGAGAGAGAGAGAGAGAGAGAGAGAGACAGAGAGAAAACAAAAACCGCTGACAATCGGGGCAAATTTTTGTTGTTGTTATTTTCTTTGCGAGTTCAAATAAATCAATTCGAATGCATTTCCAGCAACATGAAGAAAATCGTGCCAAATATGTGACGTCCGATCCAAAAATAGGTCAAACTATTGTTTGGCCCTTTATGATACAGGTTGGTGTTTTCGATTTTCATTTCCTTTTCTTTTCGTTCCATTGGCACGAGCATCTAGATCATTGTCTCACTCTAATCTGTTGTTTTTCTTTCATATTCTCTGATTTGATTTCTCACTGCACAAATAGAATGCAATGGACAATCCGTCATGCACATCGACTCCGCCCGAAACCATCTTATCACTGCTCTGGACAACGGTGGCCGTTTTCGGTATTGTTTACGCAATACTCGGCTATCGCTGTTTACGGGCGACTGGATTCTTGAGCGGTCTCGCCGCGGGCACCGGATGCATCCTATGGCTGCAGAGTCAACAGATTGAATTGATTGGCAATCAAGCGGATTCAGGTATGAATTAATTGGAAATTGGTGCAAATCTCTTATCTCTGTTTTGAGTAAGTCATTGTTCATTTGGTTTGTGAATTCTCATTGGCTCTGCAAAATGTAGCGTTAGCCATGATTGCTGGCCTCTTTGGAGCTATACTAGGGTCAACACATCCAATTGCCGCTGTACTAGTTTGTGCATTCGCCGGTGCGATCACAAGCGGATCGATTATCGTATTTTGCATCGCAACGCTACCGAATCATGTGTTTGGCGTAAGTTTTAAGCTGATTTTCTTTTCTTCATACGTACTCACATGTATAAAACAAACATAACAAACAAACAAATAATACTCAAAGCATGCAATCTCTCAAAAACATCAAACTAATTAGCTTATTGGCAAATTTTCTTCAACTCACAGTTACGGGAGGTTGAGGTAGCCGTTGGCGGAGGAGCAATAATTTTCGCAACAACAACTCTACTGTGCGATAAATTTGTTACGATTGTTGCGTCGAGCATTGTTGGTTCGACGATGATCATGTCTGCCATTGACTTTTTCATGCATGGTTCGGACACGATTCAATGGGTATGTTTCCAGTGAATTTGAATAGGAAACTTTTTTTTCGTTTTTAATGGATCGTATCAATTACGCGTTTCTTTCTTCATTTTTTATTCTCTCTCTCTTTCTCTGTGTCTTAATTAAACCATTTACTTGATGAATTTTTGAACTAATATTTTCACAGATTTTGAGCATGAAAGCAAATCCGGATCCTCCTCCGTGCTGGGGTGGCTTATTAATATGTATCTACCCTGGTGTGATTATATTCAGCATATTGGTTCAATGCTTCATAACGGCGTGGCGCATTGATCACAAACATCGGCCCAGATCGCGGAGACGACCCGTGCATCACCGTGCCTCAAGTCGACCGAGAGAGACACGCGAAGAGGCCCGACAACGCAAATATCGGTACTTGTATCAAGTACGAACAGCCAGGGGCGATATTATATCACAGGTTTGAATGAAAATCAAATTCATTTACACGTTAATTAACCAGAAACCATTTTTAACGATAATTTTCTATTCGCAGAATTATGTATCGGCATTGCAAAAACGCGTACAGCCCGGATATCAGCCGCCATCTGGACACTCAACCAAAACTAATTCACACGAACGAAACACACTCAACAGCGATCGCACACATTTTACCAACATACCAGCCGATTCCGACATTGATAATAAAATGGATTTTGGTGACCGTGGGTGATTTTGGTGATACAATTACTATTAGGCGTTATGTTTATTCACCGTTTCTTTTTAAATTATGTAAACACTAAACACACACACACACACACACCCACATCTCTATTTTTATTCGATTGATTGAAAAACAGCAGCAACCACAACATTTATCATTATTATCCTTATTATTTTTGTCATTTTGAATTCATGCATTCCATTTTTTCGTTTATATATTAGGTCGATTTTTTGTGTTTCGTTTAGTTTCGATATGAGCACGGTGATCAATGTCATTTCAGTCAATCAGTTAGAACGATCGTTAATTGAATTTTCGTGGGATAAAGCGCGCGGTTTTGGTCAAATCAACTGAGCGATTATTAGAGAATCGTGTCAAATTTGACATTCGAAATTCTAAAACAGATGAAAATGAACAGGAATGAAACCAATTTCCTAGCGAATGTGAATAATTTGTTAAATCCGAATCAAATTCCGACGAAAACGTCTTTTTGGCTAAAAATAATTTTTTTTATTACAAAATTCTGTATTCAAAATTTTAATGTAAACATTTTAAGCATTTTTACCCAAAAAAAACAATTCGATGTCATTTTATACCTTATTTTTGGATATAATTGGATAAATTTAGAAAAAATAGCATTGTAACATGGGAATAGGGTTTAAACGAAGAGAAGAAAACACCGCAGTTGCCGTGAATTTCGTAATTGATCAAACACAAGTTTTTTTTTTTACATAGAACATATATATATGGACATTGCATAGAATGATTCGTTTACGCTCATATGAACGAAATCAAAAGAAAAACGAAAATGACGAAATGCAGATTATATGTGTATCACAACTAATGTCAAAATAATGCATAAACCATGCAATGAAAATGAAGTGTAAAGAGCAGTTAATACCAAAAAAAAAACAACAACAACAACACGAGAATAAAGTTGTAGCTATTAAGAGGTAGCAAACGATGACTAATTAAAATAACAGAAAAAAAAATTGATGAGAAATGAGCGTTTGTATGTACATATTTTTGCACAAAATATCACAATGATGAGCATAGTTTGTACGAAAGAACTTGACATAGCGAGTTTAAAAAGAAGAAACAGAAGGTGTTGACGATGATAATGAAAAAAAAGCATTGTTCGGTGATTTTTAGGATTAATTTTCTTTGAATATAATCGTAATCTTAGTGAGCAGATGAGAAAGAAATGCATCTGAATATAGTTCTTGTTTGAGATTTATGTTTTTACATTGTTTTCCATTTCGAGTTAAATAAATGTTCACAAGTCCAGAGTAATGATACGAAAAATTTTACCAGCGAAAATGAAATATGCTCAAGCCAAAGGCTACAAATTGAGTTCAAATTACACTGGTTGTGTTGGTCCAAATGATTAAGAAAAGGATAAAAGAGATGGGAAAAAAGAGTCGAATTTTACATTTTCAAAGAATTCCATTTGCATATAGTATAATATCTCGTTGTCATCGAATCCATTTTATGACATTCAACAAAAAAAAAATGATAATCGCTTCCGAACAAATTCGAAAATGCAATTATACCAATTTAAAAATTTATTCAACTTAAATGTAACACTCATTTACTTGAGATTTAACCAAATGTAATTTATAATGTTCTCTGCATGAATGTTTTCTCCCTTCACAAACACAGAAAAAAAACAATAAAACATATATGCATATTAACGATAAAAACCAGCGTAGACAGCATATAGATTGTAGTCGCTTGCCCGTTCGATTTTGATTACAACATACAAGTTATTACACACTACTCAACCAGCCAACAGAAACAACGTCTCTCTTAATGTGTATTTTTGATATTTATTGCAAATGATCGTAGCAGCAGCGTCGTCGTGGCTATCGTCGACGTCGAAACGCAGGACACGAAGTGAACATTCATATCAGTGTTGTTTCTTGTTTCTCAATTGCAAAAGGGTTTCCAAAGACTACCAAAACAAAACAAAAAACAAAGACAAAATATACAACCGCAACTTATAAACAAAATCCAAAAGAAATGAAAAATCATTAACATTTTACACTATAATCAGGAGCTCAATCAAATTTCGCATTGGAATAAAGATTTTATGTGATAGGTCAAACGGCATGCCCGTTGTTGGATAGAAGAAAAAATAACAAAACACTTTTAAAGGGTTTCATATTATGTTTTTCTTTCGGCCGAACAAAAACGTTCTGAATGCGCGCGGCGAGAGTAACAAAAGTGCTCGCCAAAATCAAATGCTTTTACAGAAACCAAAAAAAACAAAAATGCAATCCAAACAAATTTCGCTATGTAAATGAATGGAGAAAATGGAAATCAAAGTGAAACGAAGAAGAAGAAGAAAAAAATTACTAGTGTTGAAAACCAACTCCGGCCAGGTCAAACCGGGCCATATTGGTGGACAAACAAAAAATAAATATATTTTTAATATGAGACAGAATGGGAAGAAAACAAACAATAAATTCAATAAATATTCAAACAATAACAAAATATGACATGAATAAACAAAAATCCATCATTAAAACCAACAAAATACCGTTGTCGTTTCAATTTTTTTGTGTGGCGTTTACAAAACTACAATTTTATATAGCTTTGACAAAATGCCGTTATGTGTTTGAGAGTCCAGTGTGATAGTGCGAAAAAGAAGGTATTTCGGCTTGGCCGCTGCATGCAAACAGTGTTTGTTTCTCACACACTGAAAAAAAACCGCCACATTCTTATTTACATTGGAACTCAATGTCTTATATACGAAATGTGAAACGCTTGATCCAGTTTAGTGGCCAATATAGCGGTGCGACAAAGACGAATAGAGAGAGCATGGTGTTGAAACGCGTGCGCATAAAATGCACGTATTTATTATACGTCCAGATGGTGCACATTCAAGATACAAAATTTATTATCAAAACGTTGTTCCACATTGTCAAGCACATTGGGCAAAAAAAGAGACGAAAGCGAGAGAGAGAGTAAGGAGTTCAGAGGGTGACTCGTAGATACGCACAACACACCGAACATTCGTTCCATTGAACTGTTGTGTGCACAGGAGGTAAACAGACACGTACATGATTCGTTTGTGCGTGTGTATTTGTGTTGGTGCGATATTGGTTTTTCTTTCGTGCACGATGGATAGATACACATTGACGAACGGCACAGCCTTATCGCACATCGAGGTTGCATCGGATTCTTGTCACGTTCAAATGAAATATTATACAGTTCTCGTTCTAACTTCAACGCTGACAGCCACATAGAATATTGTATCAGTCGGCCACTACCGTAAATGAAGTGTGAAATAAAGTCAGAAAAAAGAAACATTTTCCTGCCGTTCATTTGGTGTAGAACATTTTTGGGCTGAAAATTCGAAAACTTTCTTCATTAGAAACGGTGAATTTATTGAAATAAGTGTATTTTGGCGTAATTTTGCTGATTTTCTTCGCCACAATTGCCGCGTGTGTCTTGCCATTGCGGTAACATTGTGTGGTGTTCGTGTGACCGAGACCCAAAACAAATTTCGACGAATCGAAAGCAATTTCGAGGAAAAACAATTCTGCTGCAGCCATTCGACATTAACTGCGCTTCATTCAACTCGTTGGATATCTCTTTCTGTTCGGGCACGAATAAAAAAAAGAAGACAGAATTCACACCGCCATAATGTCATACCGTGTAAGTTGTTCTGAGTTTATCGATTTTTTCGATGGTTCAAGTGAACCGTGCGATTTGGTTTTAGTCTCGCGTTGTCTCGCATTACAATATTTGTCATTATTTCATGTACTTTTTGAGTTTCACACTCGAGTATGTTTTTGTTCCCTTTCATATTTAGTTACTGTTCCATTTGAGACGAATTATTTTTTGTGCAAATCCAAGCAGTTTTTACGCTATGAGTTCTCCCTTTTTATGGCATGTTGTTCTTTTTCTTTTCGTTAGGAAATCGATTGCAAGCGTGACCAATTCCGCAAATACATCGAAAGCAAAGGGGTCGTCGACAGCATAACTAAGGTGCTAATAAAGTTGCTGGAAACACCCGAAAAACCAGAGCATCCAATGGATTTTATTCGTCAAAATTTGGGTGCATCACAGGCCGAAGAACGACGTATCGAAAGTCTTGAACAAGAGGTCATCGGTTACAAGAAAGAAGTTGAAGATTTGAAGTCGCAACTTGAAGCGGTCAAAGCGAAACTAGGTGAATATGAAAAGAACACGGACGATGCTGTTGGCGAAACAAAGAACGAAGAAAAACCAACGAACGAATCGGTACAGGCAAGTGAAGCCAAGGCTTCTGAAATCAATCAAACGAACGGCGGAGAAGCTGTAGTCGATGCAAGTAAAGATAAGACCAGCACCGAATCGGAAACTGCCGCAACGCCCAGTTCGACCACAACCACTGTTGACAGTGGCAAAACCACAAACGATAGCGAAAATGCTGATGTTGCCAAGTCAAACACGACCACTGCTAAAATTGACGACGATAAACCACCTGCATCGACTGCCAACGAGGCTGACAAGACCAAAACATCCGAAAATGCCGCAACTGCCGCCGTCGTCGTCACTGATGATGCCGCTGCCGTTACTGCTGTCGCTGCTGCACCGGCTGCCGAAAATGAAAAGTAAACACATTAACCGTATTCCGAGAACAACAACACCATAAACCAAATATGTGGCTATCTTATCAATACGAATAAGAGATAGAAAATTGATCATTTCGAAGTGTGTTCTCATGATGACACAGAAGATTTTTTTTGGAAAGTTGATTGTTGAAAGAAGAATATTTTTGAAAGAGAGCAAATTTGCCCTGTTAAAGAGACGGAAACAATGTGAATTTACTGGCATTTTATATATGCACTTACAAAACTTATATACGAACACACATACACAAAACCTTTTGGCGAACTGAATTTAGCCACACTTTTTTGTTATATTTACTTTGTTTCATCTTGTTTTTTTTTTTTTTTTGAAGAGTTCAATTGTAAGTTAATTGACGATTGTAATCAAGAAAATTATTCAATATTGACAATTCGATCCAAAGATATTTGACACATATTTTGAAATTATTAAAACCCTTTTTTTCCTCACGATTCACTTTGAAGTCATAGAAAATGTTCTAAAAATGATTAAGAAAAAAAACAAAAATTTAATTCATTGTTAGGATACAAAAAAAGTACACTACAATTATTTTGTAAACAATTTGAACAAGCGAAAGAAAGTTCAGGAAGAAGAAAAAAAAATTCTGAACCACGCAAAATATATATAAAAAAAAGAATGGATTTTTTGATGTTTAAATCATTTAAAATCGAAAGCATAACCAAGCAAATAAATAACGTCCTAATGAACACGTCCTGAACAATAAATCACTTATCTATTTGTTAGCAAAAAACACAAAAAAACCCATAAGTATAATATAGTTGACGATCATCTTGTACGCCCAATGTTAAGCCAAAATAATGCAATTTGTCACATGAAAAAAAAAGTTTGTACAAATCCAGAATTTTACATGTTTCTCAGGTGTCATTTGGTTTTAGTTGAAAAGAGAAACAAAAATTGTAAAGTATTTATGGTCGCTTTGCTGTTTGCTGGTGCAATCTATATTCTATTCCTATAGCATTTTGTTTGAAACATATCATATTATTATGCACTTATGAGCACACGTTTTCTCTGTGACTATAGTTTTTATTGAAGTGGCTTGAGCAAACTAAACAGATCGAAAGATGAGACAAACACTTGACTTGATCACTCTCAAGAGTAGAACTGATTTGAAATTTGAACAAACATTGTATCGACGATGGATTTTCGCAGCAATTTGGAGTGACGATTGGTTTACAAACTAATCGTTCAGCTGAGCCGGTGTAGAATTTCGTTAAATGCTCGAAAAGAAAGCGTCTGTAATTCCATGTGGTGTTTCGTGTTCAAACATCAAATCAGTTCTAAGCTAATGTGTCAGCACTTGAAGACGATTGGAAAATCAGAGAAGAAGAGAGAAAAATCGAACGAAAATTGTGAAAAGAGAGCGATTTTTTTTAGTAGGGAGTCAGAGCACCTGACAGATGGCGAGACACGTCCAATTGAAGTGAATTTTAATGAGTTTTTCGTTGAGTTTGCTTATTGCACACATACACACACAAAATAAAAAACCAAAAGTGATGATGTAGAGAATCGTTCATACACGAAACAAAACAAACAAAAAAACAAAATCAAACCAAGGAAACCATATTCTTTCAAGAGTAATCCATACTTTTCTATCACTTGTGCCTTTAATCATTTTACATGACATCTTTTCAAGTGCACGAACACATCAAACACACACGCACTCACTCACACTCACAGACACACACACACACACACAAACTTTCTTACACAAACACTTTGCAAGCATTTAATTTGCATTTTCTAAACAAAACTGGATGCAAAGCAGATTTTCATTCGAATATGATCACTTATAGAACAAAAAATTGGATCGATCAGGTTTAACCGAATTAAAATTTGGACGAAAGAAATAAAAAACCAATTTGTGTACACAAAACAATATTTACATATATATTTTGGTTGCGCCGAGCTGCAAACAACTAATCATCTTAGAAAAAGCATCACCTCGGTGAATCGACGGTTCTGTTTAGCTATTAACCGGTCTGTGTGTTAGTCGAATGCGGATAAAGTCAAGAATTATCTCAATTATTTATAGATTCTACGGAACTTCAAAGAGAAATTGAAATAAAAACCATTTTCGCCAACAATTTAGAACAAAGTGTTTTTTTCTCCTCCATTTTTTTCTCTAGTTTTAGGCTGGTTCGGGGATTTGGATCCACGGCACGAGCATCGATAAAGATTTGTGATGATTCACTCAATACGCATCGGAAATTTGTCTTTATTCATTCGGAACGGAAACTCGGTACCGTGCACGTTGACGAAAGTAATGGGATTTTGAGTTTTTTGCTTCAAAAAAATTACATAGAATACGATGAAAGAACGTCTAAACGTAGTTGACGTAAATTCCGAACAAAATCATTTCAAAACTCAATTAGTCCATCGTAGATTTATGAATGATTTTGAGTTCAAATCAAATTTTTTTTCTTCACTTATCCCACAGATTTTGGTCATAAAATTTCGTCATAGCATTTGCAAATAATGATGTTTATGATCTGAAACAAAAATATTTGTCTGCTAGTGATCGTACCTATCGCAATCGATTGTTACTGTTCCATGACAACGAACCAATTTCGATGCGTCGGCCTAGCGAACTTGATAAAAATTGATATAATAATAAATGTGCGTTCAGTATATACTAGATCATCGACAACCATTCAACTATGTGTATATATATATCGATGAAATAATTAAATCTCGTCGGGAGGGAAAAAAACACGAAGCGAGCCACACTTGAACTTGAGCATGTGATTTATTATTGGTATTTCCACTGTTGTAAACGAAGAAAGCACCACTCATCGCTCTGAATGCGAACGTACGATAGAGTTGAGCAATTAAATTTTCAGAACCAAGCCAAAACCAATTGAATAAAAATGATAAAATGCGCGAATGTATAAGAAAATTGAAGTGTATTGGTATTTGGCGAAAGCGAATAAAAACAAACGGCCGCGCCGTTTTTGTTCATTCACTGTGCGGCAAGATTTCCGTACGTTACCGTCATCATCATTCGCTGTGATCTTCTAAGATTTTGCTTCTTTTCTGTTCTTCATCTCGACTGAATATTTTCTGTTTCAATACACGAGTATCATTCGGAATTGAATAGCGGCAGTAAACGGAGTTTAGTGGAAAATGTAAGTGAGATAGCCTTCTCAAAAACGAAAAAAATCTGGAGCATAAGAGAAAAGAGAGAGAAAATTTTGAATTTCAGTTTTCAAAAATCAGTGCGAATTCAAAGAGAATCATTTGCCTCCCATCACATTGATTAATGAACGATGGCAATGGATGTGACAGAATTGACGCGATTAAATGTTGTTTTCTGTAAAATTAGTTTTATTGTGTGCAATCATAAATTTTGATTAGTGTTTTGAATGATGAGCGATAGAGTTCACATTTTTAAAGACTTTATTCATTTACTTTGCGATTTCACACATTTTGATGGCGTATCAGTCATCGTCGTCTTCCTCGTCGTCGCCATCGTTACATTCCAAACCATTATTTGATCAAGTTTCGTTGCACATTGTCATAAAGTGTTTGCAAGTTAAAAAACCATTAAGCGGATAATGAATTTATCACAAGAAATAAAACGAATAATTGAATGTTTAATGTCATTTAATATCCCTATTATTGTCGTCTTGTGCCATTTCTTATCGCCATATTCCGTGAAGAAGAGAAAAAGAGGTCAGCGGGAATACAGACACGCCTCTATCGCCCAGAAATTTAAGTGAAATTGTGTGTTGAACTGAAACGCATTCTTCGAAACATTTCATTTGTTTTTCCGCACAGAATAGTTTCTGTATAAATAGATCGAACGGATATTTATTTTGCCATGAATCACATGAATCCGAACAATTCAAAGCAGACGCTCCGCACTCAATGAGTATCGGATCTTTTTCTTCTTTTTTTTTTCATTCGTTACAGTCAACCAACAAAAGTGAAATTAAAAATAGTTTCCAAGTGAAAATGACCGATATCCAGTTTGATCTAACAGAAATCGGCTGATACCACATTTTTCCCGCCTTTATTCCAATAACTCGTTTCCAATGGATGTTTGTAATCTGTGGAAAATCAATTTCTCAATAAAAAAAGCTCATCAAACATTTCAATTTACCACACGTCAAACTCAACAATTCGTCGGAATTTATTCGCTTTACCAACCGATTCGACGACGGCGGCGGTGGCGGCACAAGCTGTTTCGTGTATTTTATCACAGCAGAAAAAAACCAGATACAAACATAAAAGTTTATCAGTTTTCATGAAATCTTCCTAAATCCGTATATTACGCGGTCGATAGATAGCAAAACGTACACTTGAGCAAATATTTGCGGAATCTCGTGTTTCAAAGCAAAACATTCGGGAAATTATCTAAAAACGAATCCATTTTGCCATATCAATCCAAAACCAATTCATACGGACGATTAACGTAAATTTCCAATTGATTTCCTCTAGAACCGTGCTCTAAAATGAATAACAAAGGATTTGTGAGCGACACACAGGACATGGGCACATTAGAAAATGCAAAGGCAACCAATGAAGCGGTTCAACAAAATGAAAAGCACATTTCAAATAGAACCATCAACGTGGAAAATGGTGGTTCGAACAAGACAACACAAAGCTCAGAACCAGAACGTGAGGGTTGGGGAAAAGGTATCGAATTTTTGATGTCATGCATTGCAATGTCTGTCGGTCTGGGCAATGTGTGGCGTTTTCCATTCACCGCACTTGAAAATGGTGGAGGTGCCTTCTTACTGCCATACATCATTGTACTATTCGTCATTGGACGCCCACTCTATTTCTTGGAAATGGTCATCGGCCAATTTTCAAGCAGAAATAGTATTGACGTCTTCGATATATCGCCATTTTTCAGAGGTAAATTATTTCATAACAAAACAAGATATTCAGTGCTTCATGGAAATTTTTCTTCTATATTTCCATTCAAACAGGAGCTGGAGTCGGTCAAATCGTAGCAATTTTCTTACTGAGCACATACTATGCCTCAATTATGGCGTTAATCGGTCGTTATCTGTGGGATTCATTTCAATCACCGCTTCCGTGGACAGTATGTAAGGATACGTGGGCCAATTGCGTTGACCCAGCCGGAAATGTAATCGGACCGAATGCTTCCGAAACTATTTTGACTGTGACCAAAACTCTAAATAACGGCACCATCAAAATTACCAGCTCCGAATACTATTTCAAGTGAGTAGTGACATTTTTTGTTCTTCCTCTATTCTAATCTTTTTCATTTATGATTAATGACACACGTTTAGATGATTAGTATTCATAAAACATCGCTTTGGAAGAGTCATTCCATAAATCAAATCCAATGAAACAATACGACATTTATCATTTTTACAGCAAGGAAGTGCTGAGAGAAGCACACGATATAAACGATGGAATTGGTTATCCAATATTGAATCTGGCGTTGTTTTTGCTCTTCGCTTGGATTGTTATTGCCCTCGTCCTAATCAGAGGCATTAAAAGTTCGGGCAAAGCTAGCTATTTTCTTGCGCTGTTTCCATATGTTGTCATCGGCATTTTATTGATTCGTGCCGTCACACTGCCAGGCGCCTGGAATGGTATTGTGTTCTTCATTAAACCGAGATGGGAAAAAATTCTCGAACCAAGCGTAAGTATACTAGAAAAAAAAATCAATTTCTTTGTTGCTTTCCTTTTAATTTCAAACAAACAAAGAAATCGACAAAAAATTAATTGAAAAATGTGTTTATAATTTTAGGTTTGGTACGCAGCTGTAAGTATACCGTCAAAATACACCACTTCATTTCGCTATTCCTTCATTACTGATTTCCAACCGAGATAATCAGTGAAATTTGATGAAAATCTATTTATAATTCCAGGTGACTCAATGCTTCTTCTCGTTAGCAGTTGGCTTTGGCAATCTCATCATGTTCTCGTCATTCAATAAATTCGGTCACAATGTCTATCGTGATGCAACCATTGTTGCCTCTCTCGACACATTCACTTCACTGTTTGCTGGATTCACCATTTTCGGCATTCTAGGACATTTGGCTCATGAGACGGGAACGGAGGATATCCAAAATATCGTGACAGGAGGTAAAACAATGAATGATCCAAATGAATGCTGGTTTCCGTCATTTCAATTTGCAATTTAAATATTAAAATCCCAAAGCATCGTAACATTTGATATCTTCTTTTTAAATCTCTAGGTTCAGGACTAGCTTTCATATCATACCCAGAAGCAATCTCTCGGTTCGATTTTGCACCACAGGTACTATATTTATACCAAACCATATATTTCCATTTAAAATGATTTACAGCACTCGTCGATTGATTGATTTCGTTCTTTGATAAAGGATGACGTTGATCCTATTCACGGCCAATCAATCAAAACAATCATAAAATCATTAAAGAGTCATTAGCTCAAATCAAATGTCTTTTAATAGACGTATTTTCTGTTTGTTGTTGGGCCGTATTTGCGTATCTCCACTTCCATCGAAATGTTTGTATTTTTTATATGATGCAACATTGCGGACGCTTTGCGTTACACAAAAAAAGCGTTGTGAAATCTCGAGTAGAATACTCAATGACGTAATGTAATATCGATAACGGCGTTCTGCCAATATAAACAATTGAACCAAAAAAAAATGTGGAAAATTGATGTGTTAATCAATTGAAATCAACGAATAACATATGGATCACACACCGGACATATTCGGAGTCGACCAATAAATAAATCAAGTGGCACATTAGTTCCGTTTGACTAGTAGTTGTTGTTTTAAGTCCGCCGTCTGGGTTCAATTTACAATTAAACCAATGTTTACTTTTCACATTCAAAGAGCGTGTGGAACTACTAAAAGTTGTGCTATGTCATTAGTGTGCTATTGCTTATTTGCATGCGGTTTATTTTTGTCTCACCGCATACGTTTACATTGGCTACGAGATAAACACGTTACAGATTTACCATTCGTTGCTATTGATAAATGCAAAATGTTTACTATTTTATTGCTTCTCCATTTTCTCTGTACAGATGTTCTCGGTGCTTTTTTTCTTTATGCTATTTGTTCTGGGAATTGGCAGTAATATCGCAATGTGCACGTGCGTTATAACCATTTTGCGTGATAAATTTAAATGGCTGAAAGCATGGCAAGCATCCATCGGATTATCATCAGTTGGATTTCTTTTTGGATTGGCATACGTCACACCGGTACGTACACAATTATTAACTAAGACACACATTCAAAGTGAAAAAAAAACGAATGAATCTCGTTTATTTATCCGCAACCTTTCCTTGATGACATGCACAAAGTAATCAAAGAGTAATTTCATAGTTTTTGCTATCATTTGACCTGATTCCATCGTTATTCACAGGGTGGACAACATTTACTTAACTTAGTCGATTTCTACGGTGCATCGTTCATCGTGTTCATTCTGGTAATTGGAGAAATTGTGGCTGTCTGCTGGATTTATGGTATGCAACACACGAAAATTGCTTCTTTATATACACACACACATACACACACACACCACATTTTAATATTAACTACAATTTTGAATTGGCTTCTAATTTAGGTGTGAATCGGTTGTGCCGTGACATTGAATTCATGATAAATGTCAAGCCCGGTGTGTATTGGCGTGTGTGTTGGGCGTTTTTGACACCAATCATGATGATCACCATTCTTATCTATACATTTGTGTCCTATAAAACGTTGCAGTATAAAGGTCAATCATATCCAGAGTGGGCCACTGGTAAATTCTTAACAATTTTTGTTTTGACTGAATGTTCAAGGTTTTGAAAAAATTATTTGATTTGGTTTTTTTGTTGTTGTTTAGCTTTAGGATGGACTGTGTCAGCAATTGGTATCGCTCAGTTACCACTTTGGGCCGGCTACGCTTACCTCAAACGCTATCTCAGCGGCAATGAGAAATTGAACAGCCCACTTAGGCCAACGAAAAATTGGGGACCAAAAAATCCACAAATTTTCCAAAAATACCAAATTTACGTTTCAACCTACGAAGAACAACAGCGACAACTGCCGAGAGGGAACTTACTAGTCCGTTTGAAACGACACATTTTCGGCTAGATCAATCAAACTCGTTTAGTAGTACTTTCCTCATAAAACTAATTTATAGGCTGCCTATGTATATAGTTTTGTATACATTGAGACTAATTTCTAATTTAGAAATGCTAAGTAATTAATGATAAAATAGAGCTAAGAATAATTTTGTATGTGATAAAAACAGTCAATGACAGATAGCTGAGGATATATGCTGAGCATAAATACTCAGCAAGCTGAGATTGGTACATTTAGATTTTGTGACTTCCCTGCCATGCAAATTCATGTGATAAGATGAATCTGGTACACATTTTTCGATGCTTTCCATGAAATTTTCTGTCATAAATTCATCTTATCACATGAATTTGCATGGAAGGGAAGTCACAAAATCTAAATGTACAAATCTCAGCTTGCTGAGTATCTATGCTCAGCATATATCCTCAGCTATCTGTCATTGACTGGATAAAAAAATGAAGAACAACGAAAACCCTGAAAACTCTGTAAAATCGATCAGAACAAAAATAAAATGAAATTCGAATGCCAAGGATTTTGAATAGCGATTTTGAATTTTTTTTTCTTTTGCGTAATGCATTATGCATGTCAACATCCCTCACCATTTGAAGCCAAACAAAAATCCCATTGAATTTCATTGAAAACCCTCAGCATATGTGTGCATGTACTGTGAGCCGGTACAATCACGGCTTCTTTGCCGAACGAAGAGGAAAACACAGCCAATAAAAATAAAGTAAATTTGAATATTTCCACTTCACTGGCATCTTGCTATCTGAAAATGTATAACAAATACACACACGGCGCGCGCGTGTGTGTGTATGTGGTAACAATATCAACAACAACAACAACAGCAGCAGCAACAAAACACGCGCGCGATACACAAAAACGCAGCGAGAATGAACTCTGGATACGCGTGGAGCGCATGTCCTTCCAAGCTAATAGCGAATGAACTGGATTGGCATTGAAATGCGGACTCTACTATCGGGAATACAGCGAAAGGGAGAAAGGGATAATATAATTTTTTCCTTCGTGGATGTGATGACACTTGGGACACGCTTGTTCATCCATTCACTCCCATTTTTCTTACGCAAACGAGAATCCACTTCTTCTCGTTCATTTCGCGCGCGTGCAAAAAAGCCTTTTTCATTGGAAATGGTTCAGCAGTTTTCGTCACGATGTTGACAGATTTATACGTGTTTCTCATTTGCTCCTGTCACCTTTCTATATTTATCAGATGTTCGAATGGCTAACCATTTCGTGTGAGTGTTTAAAGTAAATAGTGAGAGCGAACAGAAAAAAAAACATTTCAATTGTTTATTCTTCTAAATCAAATCGATATCCGTCCATTGTAAAAATCGTATTTAATTTAATCGAGAATAAACATTCAACAGTTTCACCATTTATCTCTTTTTCTTTCTCCAAACTAACGAGTTGAACGAAAGGCGAATTTTCATTTTTCTCACGCGATAGAAACTGTGAAAACGAAATTTCATTATATTGTTTGGAAGCAAGCACTCAAGAAAATTTAAAGAAAAAGTTTTTAAACCGCAAGGCACTGAAATGTTGAGAGAGAAAAAATAGAAACTAAATTATGTGGCAGAAGCATCTAGAGAAATTCGATTAATGAGAGGAGCAAACGAACAAAAAAGAAAACGAGCGAGAGTAAGAGACAGACAAAAACATTGCGGAAAAATCCGATAAGTGTGAAAGCATTTGAACAACAATACAATTGTGCTAATCAAGTTTATGGATGGAAAATTATTTAACGCAATTAAAATGTGCCATAGAAGCGATGGAAACAAAAGCAACTTTATTATAGAGTTCAGCATTTCGATATGAACAGTGGAGACGCGCGTGGTTGTAAACAATAACGTCGTGAAACACACTCGAAACAAAGCGACAAAAAAAGTCGAGAAAAAAAACACACACCAAATTACATGCAAACGAAAAAGTGAACGAGAAATGCTCATATATGCACGTTTTCATGATAACGGGCGACACAACGACGACGGCACCAACGGCATCATCGGCTGCCATACAATACATGTAATAGCTTCGAAAAGCATTGAATAAAACGGTTTTGCTTTTTTCGCTGAGGGGGTGAAAACGAGCGTGCTACGAACAAGAGGGTTGTTGTATGTTGTGCTGTGTGCTTGTGCCTGCGAGTTACAAGTGCAATTTAATGTAATCAACGCGCGGCTGAAGCTAGCAATTGGGAGAGAGTGAGCAGGCGAACGAGCGAGTTCAACTTCAACACACTCGTATGGATGATGGTTTCACAGCAGCAGCATACAGTGGCTTGGCGTCAAACGATTCGAAAACAGTCTACGGTTTAGTCGATGGTGAATTGGGTATTGCACAATAAAGTGACTCAATGGATTTGCGTAGTAATCTTGATTCGAATATCTGAGCAGCCCAGCAGCGACTTTTGCTGCTTGACGCTCTCCAACTCTCTCTCTCTCTGTCTCTACTCATCTCTCCATTTCTCTGTACCGAATTACTTCAAAGTGTGTAATTGAGCAAGATGATTCAGTTCAGTTTGGTTAAACTTTTCATTTGCAGCCACTGCGAAAAGTGAGCGAATAGTTTTATGCGAAGGGGATGGTTCATTGTTTTCATCCAGTGAATTTGCTACGTGAATCGTTTTTCTATCGGCGTGAAAGTTACAGAACTCCCCAATTGATTTGATGAAAAGATTACAATTTCGTTGAAAAGTTGTTCTCGTCGTTTTTTTTTATTTCATTCAAAAATGTTTTAATTGAATAACGAAAAGTTTGTACAATAAACAAAGACATTACGGGAAGAGTTGGAGTTATTTTCGAATTGAATTGAATACAAACTATTTCCGTTCAATTTGCTGGAAAAATTGAAGAAAATTACACACACAAAATGTTCACTCCGAAGAAAATCAACGCGCCACTATCGGTGCCACCGTCGCCGACGATGAAAATGGGCTGTTGTGCATTCAGAACGACATTTCGTTCACAACCACGAACCCCACAAGAAATTTACTTTGAGAGTCGAGGAAAGTGCTGCAAAAAACTTCTTCGTTTCAATGGCTATCCGAATAAGGTGAGCAAACACATAAAATGCATTTTGGGGTTTTATCTGGATATTTACATTTAATGTCGATGTGGTCGAGAGTGAGTGGGTCACTCTGGAAATCCATATAATTACACATATATCCAATTCAAACGAAACGATTGGGAAAGGGAGAGAGTGAGAGTCACACCTTAATCCCATTCCATAAAATTGCTTGCAGGTTCTATTATTTCCCGAAGAAGGATGGGCACATGCGGCCACCTCCAGCTATATTCTGATCAAGCTATGTCCTTGGTGGCGGAGACTATCTAGGAATTTATGCATTGTCGAAGAGATAACTGGAACCCGACCGTAAGTAATTCAAATATCAATAAAACTAAATACCCAATAAATTATTGCCCCATATCCCTTGCCCATACAAACGATTTAGTCGGAAAAATTCAAATATTTTTTTTTATCCACTTCTCTGCGAAACGAAAACCCATGTTCATCGTGTGGTAGTGACAGTGGCAACGGCACCATACAATAGAGCTATATTATGTTTGCGGTTTCGAAAATGCGTTTGTATCGTAAAATATGTATTATTTCCGATTCGATGCATAATTGAACATTTTCCCAGATAAAAAATTAATACGAGAAAAAAAAAGCAGCTCAAAGTCTCTGATTTTCAAGCCGATCGGATTACGTTTGCATGAAGCGCAAAAAAACGCAAAATCCATATGAATGTTTAATCAGTTGGTGGTACGAGAAAATCGTTTGTTTTCATTAGATGCTGACTTTTTTCCTCTAGTATTCTCCCTTGATTTTTTTCCCGTTCGTGTCACGTTCCAAATGTCTATTGAGGTGACAGTGCTATTGACGAGCTCGAGTAGCTGAATAGAAAATCTCACAATTTTTTTTCGCCACAAGTAGAGAGAGCTCTTGGATAATTAAATCGGAAATAAAAGGAGGCCTGTTGCATTCGACAAAGTTTTTTCCGCTCTATGTCTCTGACACACAGGCTGTGTGTCTCTCTCTCTGTGTACGCGCGAAATACGATGAATCTATCGATCGCATGAATCATTCAGTTCGAAGTTCGAACGTTGCGAATACAAATGAATGTTGATTCACTAGTAACACCACACAACAACTACAGCAAGAGTTCCGGCATCACGGTGCCTCGCATTCGGATCGATTTTATTCGAGTGTCAATATTTTTTTTCATCCCTTACAAAAAACCACATGCATATATACATTCAAGTTTTGCATATATTGTGGCGGGATGTTGACGGAAATAAGCAATCACCATTTCAATTACCGCGGCGATTTAATTAAATATCGAAATGGAGTGTGTGTGTGTGTGTGTGTTTTCTATTTGCGTTCGCTCTGTCGGGCGCCAAACCGATTTTACATTCGACCAAGAGTCTTTCGTTTGCGTTATGTTTTCAATAAATCCCGATGACGATGATGAGGATGATGGGAATACAATTTTTCATCATAACGAAATCATTTCATTTTAATGGATTTCCATTTATTTTCGATTATTGTCGTCTTCTTCCTCTTTTTTCTCAATCCCAGCTCAACCCAATTTTCGTTTTTTGTCGCTTTTTCCTCCTTGTCGGTTTTCCATCGATTTATCAGAAAAATGTTTATGCATGCTTTTTTTTATTACAACATTCTTTTATGTATGTGTGTGTTTTTTTTCAGCAAAAAATCTACGTATGCAAGAATGATAAGCATCGAACCGGGTTCGTTGTTGATAATCGGCTCGTTCAAAAAACAAACCGTCGATCCGGATTTCAAAGTAAGTGCCAGCAATATTCCTTTTTCTCTTACTCTCACCCATCCAACAATGGCAAAAGAAAATACGGCGGAAAAAGTGAAAGAAATGGGTTTCCTCACATCAAATATAATAAATTGGAAAAATGCCATCAATTTGTCGAATACCTGAAGAAGTCTATTCAGTGTGCAGTGTTCCGGCCCTAAGTTCCTTGGAAAAGTGATTTTCTTTTGATTTGGCTTGTTCTTTTGTACAGTTATTCCGTTCTCTTTTCTTTGCTTGAAATCACAAAGATAAACTCCGTTCGATAATAGCTCACAAGCTCAAACTTTGTGCACGTTTGAGCTGGGCAAAGCCAGCAACATAAATTGACGAGAGGAAAAAACGTTCTTTTAATAATTTTTAATCAAAATGTTCGCTATTGCTCTCTCGTTAACCGACATAAAATCAAATAATTTCCATTTTTATATATTTTTCCCATTTTTATTTTCTTTTATGATTTCATCGGCTTTTGCTCTGGATAATCCCTGTGTTGACGATGACGACGACGACAACGAACGAACGAACGAACGAACAGCTAAATTTAACGTCGAACATTAGTATCGACGACTACCGGATGGGATATTGCTTGACTGGTACACTTGAACGAGGGTATAAAAAGACCAATAAATACCAACAGACTCATTTCGTTGTTATAAGACGTCGATGGCCATCGTTGAAAGATACGAAATCATCGTAAAAACAATGTAATTGACAGAATAGAAGCAAAAATCTATAATGTCGAAACGTAAAACCCGAGAAAAGGAGCTTTGTGAATTCAAAGGAGACAATACGATTTCTACCTTGCTGTCCCACTTTCTCTTCCTTTCCTCTCTTTCCCCCAAAAAATCCGTAATCCGGAATCCTTTCATCGATTATATTGCGAAAAGAAAAACCAATCTCACTCTCTATATATTATAAAGTCTTTTTGCGACTAGCAAAGTAAAGCCCCAAGCGAATTTGCTTTCGTGATAGAAAAAAAACTAAATAGAAGAAATCGCCAAATAGCTACAATTTTGATGTTGCATGTTACGTAATCAAAAGATCGTACAAACGAAAAATGATATTGAAACAAATTTAATGCTTACTGCCATTGATTTAATTACGTCCAGATTTTGAAGAGCGGAATATGCGTATTTTTTAAGTAAGAATGTCAAAAGAAAAAACAAACAAAAAAACATATTTTATAAATGTTCAATCAAATACGTCCATTCAAAACCGAAACAGTGTAAACTCTTACATTTATTGTGCATTAAATGAAAAAAATAATAATTGTATATTTGATTTGTATGAAAACCAAACAGAAAAAAACAACAACAAAAATTATTTAATGGATCCATATTTACATATAGATGTTTTTTAAGATATTATTATTGATGGAATCGACATGGAAACACATTATATTTAATCTCTATATCATTTGCAAGTGTTGTGTTGTAGCATGCCAAATATATAGTTGAACTACTACTCAGGAACAGCAGAAGAAAAACACACATGTTGTTGCAGTTGCCATTAAACGAAATGGAAAACCATTGAAAACCACTGATGTGAACCATGACAAAATAGGACAACAACAAAAAAACAACTGAACAATTCGAACAAATCGCTCAACTGCATCAATCCCATTGCCATTACAATTCCAAAATTCCATGCTCAATATTGCAAAGCGTATTATATTGAATAGAGAATACGTGTCATGTTATAATGTTATAGACAAGCTCAATAAACTGTCGAAGTAAAACACCATTTTTCTTTCGTTATATTACTTTTAAATTTCGCTCTTATTTGCCCCATTTACCTCATGTTGAACATGTTCAAAGGTAAGCTCGGCATTCCCTGCCGAAAGACAGCATATAAATGATGAAAGAGAATATAAATAAAATTCCTTGTGTTCTCTGCATGAATTTCAAATATTTACTTTTAAACCAATTGTTATAAAGTTGATGAACATTCCTTAATAAGAAAACCCTACGTATAATATGAAAACTTTTCAAAAGAATTCCGTTTTTCTCTCGCAAATGGTATGCAAATTCTCTAGAAACGGAACTTGTACTAGTGTCTATCTTTCTTATGAAACGCAATCTCAAGGGGAATTTTCGTCTTGGCAGAAAAAAAAAATAAATCTTAAAAAAGTCGTCTGAGAACTGATAGTTTAAGACAATATGAGAAGTTTTCGTTTGCATACCATTAAAGAGAAGACGACTAGCATTCGGAAAGGCAAACGACTGCGTTTGCATGAATTATAAATCACATTTATCATTCAGCACTCACCATTCGAATCATAGCTACGTGATGTTTGCATAGAATTTATAGTTGCAAACAGGAAAATGACTTCAAATAATAATATATTTCCTTCTTTCGTCGTTTATTTCTTCGTTCAAAAACACAGATAAAAATCAATACTCAAGTGCCTTTTCATTTGGGAAATAAATCTTCAAACGTCATTAAATATGAAAAGCTATGAATCGATAAGCATTCAAAATGCTTTGAGGAGTTTTGTTTGTGTTATTGCTGTTTGGGGCTGCTTTTGCACAATTCACAAGTTTTGAACAAGTTAAGTGTTGCATATTTGTGCATTTTCATTTCGCATTCAGTATTCGCCGATCAAATAATAATTGCGTAATGTTTGCGTGGCATTTATCACATTATAGCTTGTTATTGGTGAAATTTGTAGAAAAATTCGTTGTCTTTGTGAAAGACGCCGTTGACTTTTTTATGTTTTGTGATAACCAGACATTGAACCTCTCCTGTTTGACTAATATTGCAATAAACATCTGTCTCGAACCTGCAACCAATCTGAATAAATTCGTTGAATTTATCGATTGCATTCTTTTTAGCATGAAACCAATCTATTTGAATATTCATTAATATGGATGATCTTGAACCAGCAGACAACGAAATGGAAAGGTGAATCCCAATTGGGAACACAAATTTCGTGTCGCTTTACAGAAAAACACATTGAAATTTGTTCAAAAAATAACAGAATTACATATACATAGACAATTGAACCATTTAGTATAAAAGCCAGACTTTATCGCAGTGTTTTTCAGAAAGTGCAACTCAAATATGTTCGCTGGAAAAAAAACGGAAATTGAGTCCTCAAAAGAGAGTCACATTGTTGTTGTTGTTATCACGGTTTGAAAAATCAAAATTGAAATCGCTATAAAGATTTGCAATTTCCGTACTAACGTTTCAAAGTGGCTTTTTTGCGTTCGACATTCTGAATCCTGTACGTGCTTGTGGTTTGGTAAAGTATGTCTTTTATTTTAGATGGTTCAAATCTTCATTGTAAATACTATAGACAAAATTTCGTCAAAAATGTGCCTTTTAATGTGTATTAGGCCTGTTTACCTGCGCAACAACGCATCGAAGCACATCCAACGAACATTTTCAGCAGTTCGATTGCAGCTGGACTTTCTCGTTCAAAAAGTATAAATTAATCTTCAACTTATTGACGATGATTCGCAATCTATTGCTTCATGTGTTCGACTCTATTTGTAAGTTTTCATTCACGGTTTTGCCTAACAATAATTCACAATTCGATTGTAAGATAGATGATGTGCAGCGTTGTGATGGTAGAAATAAAAGATACAAATACGTACCTCCTGATGAGAGAGACTAACGTCGGCCACAGGATCTAATTTCCCCAAATTTATTTAACTTTAAGTAAGTAAGTACAAATCCTATCCTTTCGACTAATTGCTTTTTCACAGCTTCGGAGCACCGAATTTGCAATATATATGATCGGTTTGAATGTGGATTGTCAACCGTAAGAAAGTGACTTGGAATGCTTCCAACCGATACATATAGCATGAACGAACATAGAATACGAAAAGAAGATCGTGAATGTTTTAGACGAATCAATGAAATTTTAAGAACTAATGAAATAAAAGCATTGCAAAATACGACGAATCGTTGTAATGAGTTCAAAAGTTGTCGATGGAAGTAAAAAGGGCCGAAGAATTTTTTTACGTGATGATTTGAATCCAGATAAAATTTTGCTTGCTTTATTCTTCTGTATGATGTTTAATGAAACTTAAGGAATAAAGAACAATCAATACACTCAACTGCAGTTTTAAACATTTACGAGCAGTTCATTTCGATGTTTTTTTTTTCATTTATCCATTTCAAAAAGAATTGTGATTTGGTAATTAGTCACCATTCTTGTTTTCGGCATGAAAATTTCTTAAATGATTTATTTTTGACAAAACATCATACTACAACTATTGGAATCAACTCAATACCCTAGAGAATGTTAAATCCCAACTTTAAATTGAGTTGAAGTGAAAGAAAAATCATTTGGAATATTCGAACCAACACCTTCCATTCCCACGAATTGAATTTTCGAATAAGTTCCGAGAATGGCAGATATTTTCAGATCGTATTTTTTCAAAATTTTACGAAAATTGAAGTTTAATTTTTTTTCTCGCAAAAATTAAACAGCGCTGCGTCAAACCATGTTGTTTTGCTGTTGGCAATAAATCACCTTGAATAATGAAGCGCTTGCTTGAGATGAAAATAAACGACGTTGCAATGATAATATTACAAAATGTGAATTCTAAAAATGCCCAAATAATTTGCCCACTCCACGCGCGAGGGTTTTATTTGTCATTGCAAGTCAGTACTGACTCGCACATATTCATTCAAATTGACTCACGAGTCCTACCACAGAAACTACAATTTATTCATAACAAATCTACGAATAAATGCGAGTCTGTCAAAAAAATTTTCTCGAAAAAACACTTTCTCGCAATATCATATACCTACATTTTCCGTATTCACTCGTGAGATACATATGACACATAAAACGAGCTCAGTGTACACGCTCAGTGTACACAGAATTCGATTTAAATTTGGTTTTATACAATAGCTCAAGGCATGTGGACTTTATTTCTTAACGAGTGAATTTTAAAAATACTCCTGAGTCTGAAAAAAAATCAGAGTATCTGAATTTTTCCATGGTTACAGGTATGATGGGTCAATATTTTGAATAAGACATCGAATATTCCAGATGATAGGCATCTACTCAATGCATGACGGGGATTTTGACCGATTTTAACATTGAGACAACTGAAGACTGAAAATAGTATTATCAAGTCTTGCATTGTATATTAAAATAGGCAAAACGTGCGGTTTTGCAAGGCATGATTGCCACAGGTCCAACAACGATCTGAATGTCACTTTTTTGATCAACTGTTGAATGAACCCATCTAAAATTGTGCTGGTTGCTAGCTTATTTTGTGGAAAATGCCAACAAAGAGCGAGTACGTTACGCGCAACAAGTGTCTTATTTTCGAAATCAGTACGTGACGCATGTCGAAACAATGAGTAAACATTCAACTGCAACCCGTTCAATATTCGTTAATTTGTCAGGTGACAATCATTCGCATCATGTTTGATATTGTAACAGTGGGTGGAGCTCCCTTTGCAAATTACAGACGCTGAATAATTGCCACATCTCTTCATGACGATATTTACGCATGGTAAATAAAATATTGATTCACCCGCTCACTTTTCGCACTTTTTTTAGAATCATTTCGCTTGATGATACTGTTGATGTTTTGTGCCTTATGCCAACGACAGCAAAAAAAAAATATAATTTTCGAAAATAATAATTCTTAAACAGGCATTGTCGAGTTCAATTTCGTTCGTGTTAACACACGTGTCGAAAAATGTCGAGTTCGGTTCCAAAAAAAATTTCGTTGCAGCAACACGAAAAACCCTGTTTTTAAGCATTTCTGGCATTTGTTTATATTAAAAACACTTTTTGAGAAATAGCGCGTGTGAATTCCTTTCAATCACTAATTAGAATTGTTCGCGGTTGCGTCGTATCAGTGAGGCGCTGATACAGCTATTAGTTGTTCTTCATTCGACTAAAGCGGTTATTATGAGTTTTTGTGTTTCTCGCATAAAGTTATCATTTTCTCAATTTGCGATCATTCCATTCATTTATGATATAAAATTTAGATTAAAAAACAATAATATTTGTTGAAAAACAAAAACTTGGATTTAAAAAAGAAAAAAAAAATCCCAAATCGAATCAACAGTGACACAATGAATTCATCGTATGCCTTTTGGAGTAAGAATTTTCAAAACAGTGTTTTTTATTTCTCAGTCAAAAAGTTCCCTGTGTCAATAAAATCATACTATATTTATTGAGTGAATATGTTCAAAAAATAAAATAGCCTTTTGTTTTCCTTCTTCAACATTAGATTCAGATCCGACCGAATTACAATATTCACCACTGATGCAAAGTATTCCAACAACGATATCAACAATGAAACCCATTGATCCAACAGTAAATTATGGGCATTCGCCTCCGTTATCCAGATTCAGACCTTATAATCATTATCCGAGTATGGGTGCTGTTACACCATCATCACTATCACCAACTTCCAATGGAATTGGTATGCAAACCGGGGGACCGTATAAATCTGCATTCAAGCCCGTTGCAAAGCGGCCAATTTTCTCGAATGCTCCTGCGGCAACAACAACAAACACATATGCAACCGAACCCAGCTACTTCAATACACCGAATGCAATAGTGACATCGAGCTCGAGTTACAATCGCTATAGTCCGAATCAAATTCAGTCTAGAATCCAGTCCATTCCATATAATCCACCCTACAGAGGTTTAGAAGGTCCATCATCAGAAGTTACGAAAGACATACAAAATGTCGATGCGACATTGAATAATGTTGAAATACCGAACGATATGCCAGCGCAACATTCCAATTTAGAAAAATTGTTACGCAAGCCAGCAACCGAATACGAAAAAACTCAAGCAACGCACACCGAGAAAAACAAAAACGGTAGGATAATTTAGTTTTGTTTTTCAAAAAATCTAGGCCACACGTGTGCTGATGTATATCAAACATTTCGATAAAGCAAATAATCATTTTTTCACAAAATTTTTTGTTGATGATACTGCTGTCCTCTTTTTCACATAACGAGTGCCGCTAGTAACGATAAAAAGATGAAATGGGTGTATATAATTAAAAATGCGCATAAGTAAATGTGTCTTTCAAAATCCTTCTTAGCTGATTATTGAGCAAAACCCATTTTTGTTCTAAATGAAAAAAGGAATTAGACTTTACTGTTTGTTTTTTCAATTCATTTTTTCGTTCTTTGCCTATTTTCGAGTAATGTGCACTGACAAGTTAATAATCGTACTCATTCATCGATGTTTTGTTAATATGGAAGCGTGAAAAACAGGAAGCAGTACCATCTCAGTGAATATATAGCGATGTGAAATAATAAATTTGTCTTGTTACAGAAAATAGGAAGCTAGTTGACAATGTGTTTCATTGGGATACGCTGTTGCCGTTGGTGCCAGATCCACAGACACGTGTCGAAGTATCGGTGCTACCAAAAAAGATAAACACACGCAAACGACGGCTAGGGAAAATTGCAGTATCAAAATGTAACGCAATAATTTTCAATGTTTCCATTTTCTTTGAATATAGATACTAAATGAATGTGTCTATCTTGCTTAGGTGCTGATGTAAATGACAGTGATGTGCCTATCATCGATCTAACATCAGGCGAAGACCTCGACGATTGTATACCATGCTCAGTAATTGAATTGAATAAAACGCCACCATTAGATATAAATGGCAACGAAATTCTTGTTAGCACCAATACCGAAACATTGCCAACGATCAAGGCACAAGACAGCACAACGCAAGCACAGCAAGTGAACCAAATGCCATTGTTGCCCGAATCAATTCATATCGAAAAGATTGCAAAGAATTCAATCAATTCAACGGTTGAACATTCCGATTTTCCGATTTTGTTTGCAAATCTCACGCAAAACGGTTTTCGTATGCCACCAAAGGAGCAGATCAAATTTGTCAACAAATGCAATCGGTACATGGGATATGTTCGTCGATATAACGGCTTTCGTTTGTTTGTTCAACGAAATTATTTACGAGCTCAAGCGCACGCACCACGAAGCGAATTTACAAAGACATTCATACAGAACATTTTATTACGCTGGTGGAGCACAATGTCAGCCGATGCAAAAGAACAATACGTTCGAATGGCCAATATCTCGCACACAAAGAAATCAGACTCGACACCAAGCAACGCAAACTACAGCGACAACGACGAACCGAACGTATCAATAATACCGATTTTCAATGGTTCTCACCCAAGCACAAGCAAAGCAAGCGATGTGAGTGTGAATGTGAACGAAAATACGGAAGCCGGTGCTGCAACAGTCAACAACAATGCCGTCACCACATTACATTCTCCAGTCAACTCACAGTAAACGATGCTTAGCCGATTGGCAATAGAATAAGAATTCATACCGTCATTTATTAATTAATTTCGATGTAGTTCAACTTATTTCATACAGTTTTTCTATTTTATTGTCTTCAAATGAATTCGAATTAAAGTATTCGTAGCTGTAAAAGTGTCAAAGTTATTATTGTTTCAAAATCAAATTTGCAGTCGATTTTTTTTTTGTGTCAATTTTTCCAGTGTGACTTCGTTCAACGTGAGATTTTTGAGCAAATGAACGAGATAGAATGTAAATTCAATGTGTACGTTTGTTTAGATTGAATCGAAAAAAGTTGTGCGGTGAATGTTCTTCAAGTTGGATTCCATACAGAAGTCGGAAATTGCAATAGAAAAGAGTGTTGCATCTCTTATCCACTCACTCACACACGCTTTCCATCATAGTGCGAAAACATAACCAGAGTGAGAGTGAGATAGAGAGAGAGAGAGAGAAAGCATCACGCATACAGTTTCTGCAAGAAAAAGAATCGTATATTGAACGAAACCGTTCATCACAGCATCGAAACAAGTGACCACACACCAAACTGTATCGTGTTTGTCAACTCAAAAGACTTAACTAGAGCTAGTCGACATTTTGACGCATTCATTGAAACAAATGTCATTGTATTTGGACGGTTTGAATTAATCAGTTCGCAATTCACCATCGTTACATCAATGCACACATACACACAAAACCAAACGCGATTTGTTGTGAAATGAACAGTTTAGTGTATATATTCTAACAAGAATTAATCGGAATAGAATTATTTGTGTTGATGAAAACATTCCGATAACATTGATTGCCGAAAAGTGTGGAAATTGAGTTGAAAGATAATAAGGTGCGAAGAGAAAAAGCGATCGAATACACCGGACAAAATGGAGTCGAGCAACATGTTTGCTAAAGGCACAGAAATCTACATGAAATGTTTGAGTAAGTAGACTGATCGAATTTTTCGTGTGTTTTTCTTCGGCTAATTTTGAAAATACAGTAATTGTTGTTAGTTTTTTTCTATTTCGATCATACTTGCTGCATCATATGTTTGAATCATTTTTTTTCGGGTTTCATTTGAAATAATGGACATTTTTCTGTGGATTGAATTTATCCTTTCATAGAAATTTAACATTTTCCACTCATTCGATTCGTGATTTTTTTTTCTCTTCTTCCCTTTTAGTTGCGTTGCAACAGCATCAAAAAACGCCAGACATTTCGGCGACGACAACATCAAGCAGTATGCCATATTATGTGCCGCACTACACGCGAATCAGTACGCCGCAGCCTTTGATGTATATGCCGAATCAGTATCCATCACACTTGGGTCAAGTGCCAAATGGTCGAGGGCCACCACATACTGCCGATTATAATGGTTCAGCATTCAAGCCGATGAATTCGTGGTCACATGGACCACAACAATATGCACCATTCAATTCGTTCGATTCACAGCCATCGATCAAACAATCAGCGATGTCAGCTGACAGTCGATATTTCAATCAATATGACCGAAATGTGACCTATGGAGCACAATTGCCGCCAAATCCAGTGGATGATTCTGTTTCGATGTCAATGGAGAAACATGGTGCAATCGATTCAAAATGGCATTCACAATCAAACATGCAATCATATGTGCCTGTTCAACCAACAATGGGTTACAATGAAAGCTATTCAACGGCAATGAATCCAGGCTACGCACAGCCACCTATGATTGATATGAAATCGACTCGATCATCTCCATTTCAATCGGAAACGGCTTACAACAACGGACACCAAGTCGCCTCGAAGTGTGAGAACAAACACAAACCGAAGAAGGTTCGTCGACCGATGAACTCGTTCATGTTGTATGCGAAACGGCATCGCACGCAAGTGCATCAACTCTATCCGCTTTGTGACAATCGAACTGTGAGCAAAATTCTCAGCGAAACATGGTACGCAATGGATCCGATCAAGAAGCGAATGTATCATGATTTCGCCGCCGAGATGCGCGAAGAACATTTCCGATTGCATCCACACTTCAAATGGAAAACGTCAAGTGAACCAAATGTGACACCAAAGCCAACCGATCAATCGTGCGAAAGTGTGTTTGCCGAACTGAAGCCCGTCACGGACAAAACCTTGCTGCCATCCAATGATGCAGCGGAAATGCAGTTGACTGATTTTGGATATGGCCTGAAAGAGGATTTGATGAATCATTTTCCAATCACACCATCGACGGAAAATTCATTGAGCCCAGTCGCTTGCGTTGATGCGGCAGAACAACAGTTGAACGAGCCATTTGCAGTGGATGCGAAAACAGAATTTCGTTTGGGACCCACACCAGCACAGCTCGGTCGTTATCGCAACAAAACGATCAACAATTCAACGACTGATGCCGTTTCAATGCCATCAAACCATGTGCCAGACTCAACTGAATCGAATGATTGCCTGAACATTGAAGACAACGAACGCTCGCTGGCCACAAATCAGTCGCAGTTCAAAAAACGCTTTCAATCGCTGCCCCAGTTCGATTTCAGCACCTATCGAATGAGCAATGAGTGGGATGCGAGCCCAACATCACCGTCACTTACGTACAACACGTACAGCCGAAAACGTGCACAACCGAAGCCATCAGCTAATGAGCCAAATCCAGCAAAACGGGTGGTCGGTGAACGATTCTTTGGACCTGATTTCAATGTCAACAGTTTCAAGGGTAGGCTTTTTCGAACATTTTTCTGTTACCAAATTCTCTTCTTTTCACTTAGCTTTGCAATAGTTTTGACAAATTTATAATTATTTTTTGTTTGAACTTTTCACAGACCTCGACATGAATTCGTTCAGTTCGTCGCCAGTCACGCCAAGTTCGGCAGAAGATCAACCATTCCAGCAAGAGAAGGTACACAACAAGAAGAAGCGACACTTGATCAATCAACGAAAGACTCTGATAATGGAACTATTCGATAAATGTGGTTTCTTTCCGTCTCCGAAGGACCTTGATGACTTTCTGGTAACACACTCAAACGCTTCGAATTCTTTAGACAATTTTTTGTTCACAATTATGATACTATTCTCTATCTCTCTCATTTGCAGAAAGAACATACTCATCTCTTTGGTTCAAAAAATTTCCTGAACGTCAAAATCCGTGAATATCGCCAAAAACACATGCAAAATCAGTCGCCACAATGAACATAGATTATTGATTTAATTTGCATATTTCGAGAGAAAATTAGTTATTTGTTACCAACAGACTGGTAGAGAAAGTCACGTTATAATACCGTTTTTTTTAAATGTTAGGCATCGGTATTAATGTTTTTTTTCATGTTTAATTTTTACATTTTGCTGAAAATGTTCTTTTGATTTTCAAATAAAATAGTCAATTGTTCCATAAAAGAAAAAGAGTGCATTTCAACGAACTTATTTACGAATTTGAAATCTATACAAAACTGTGCTATTTTCAAAGAAACTCCATACTGCTGCAGGTTTGACACATATCAGTCTAACTGAAACTCAACTTGACAATTGAATTAGCATTGTAAATTGGGTTGGTCAATTCGAAATTTCATTTCAATCATTTGTATGTGATTTTGAAAGAAAAATCAAAAAGCGCTGCGTTTTAAATAGGTTAAAATAAATTGATAACATTCATTTGAATTTGCCCTAATCCCAGATCTATTGGCAGCAGATCCAAATTAATCAGTCTCATTTTAAATGAATATATGACATCATGAACAAAAAATCATTTCAACATGAACCGTTGGTTTCTACTTCTCAACTTTATGATTCCAAATTGCTACTTTTCGACACACACAATTCAATGGTGGCTGTGTTGCAAAACTTACAACAAAACCATAATAGAAAATGGTGATATTCTCAATTTGTTCCACATTTGGAATATTCAACTTTTGATTGGAATGCAACTGAAATCGAATTTAAATTGGATTTATATTTTTTTAGTACAACTATAGTTACTTCTTTTTGATATTGATAATACAAATTCTACACACGATAATTTTTGTTGGACATTTTCCATTGATTGAATGCTTTGTTTTGAATATTTAATTTTGTCATCTAAATAAATTGGATTATGCAGCCCAGACTCTGATGGAATCAACTAACAGGGAACTGTCATCATTTTCAAGGTGCCAATTTGATATCCAGCTATCGCGATGAGTCCAAAAATCTTTCATCGCTGATGAGGATGTATTATTCCATGGTTTCTTATAAATAGTATTGTTGTTGTCGGGAAAATAGCCGTTTGTTCCACCAACTGCGACATTCATGACTAAATAAAACTGCGTAAAATAGAAACGAAAGTGTTTGGATATTAGAATTTGTAACAACGTTTTCCGTGTGACAGAATTGGTTATATATTTTAATCATTTGGTATTTTTCTAACAATTAGCGTACATGTCATACAGTCCAAATGTTCATACGTTCAAAATACTATCCAAAGTCGAAAAAAAAATTCATTTTGAATCGTCGTGTATAGAAACAACAAAATGAACATTACAATCTAGCTACTGAAGCCTTGGAAATAAACGGCTACTCTACTATTTCAAGTATTACAATTTAATTAACTTAAATATCCGAATGGATGGAAAAAAACATCAAATGATTAATTGATCATTCCTACATCACAGAGTAATGAGACAAACCTCTTCATCAAAAGGCGCCATCTTTGTGCCTGATGCCCAGATGTCATTACCCTGGAAATCACCGCGATTCCAGAAACCACCAGCCACTGGAACAAATCCAATTTCAACTCTGTCTACAAAAAATCGAATTCCTTCTTCGTTCCAAAGGAATTCGTAAATGTGATAACTGCGATCAAAGCCTTTTCTGTTATGTTTAGCAAATGTCACGGTGCACCAATTATCCACATTAGACCTCGGACCAAAACGCAGTGTTGAAGTTATACGCTTCACACCGATATGAACGCCATTCGCATCTGCGTAATCAGCATTTCCACGGGACTCAATCAAGTCGATTTCGCCAGAACGGGGCCCATATGGCCAGCCGCCGTATTTTGATTGAGAAGGCAACAGTCGAATGGCTGAACAACAAAAGAAAAATATTCACATTTTTTTATACAACATGTGTTTATAAACAAACATTTCGATCAGTGTAATTATAGTCAAATAGAACAAAATTACAACAAAAAAATATTCATTTATAAAAGGCTAATTTCATTAAAAGGAATATAAATTTAAATTCTCCAGATTTCGTGGAGGCTTGTCATTTAGGAATTTTATATTTGCTTCAATGTGTGCCAAGAATTATTAACTTAAACTGTTTTCAACAGAAAATGTTGAATGTTTCAACAGGTGTCAGTATTTAATATTCATATTTTTTTCATTCGAAATTTTGATATACTAGAACATCAAGTGACTCCCGAAATGGCTTTTAAGATATTTTTCTAAATTTACCAAAAATAAACGATGATTAGTTTCCGTGTTGTTGGAAAATGTTTGCGTTGTTAATAAACAAAGGGATATTGCAACTTTTTTGACCAGAAAAAACGCCATCTTACGTCGTGCCCGTAAATTATTTTACTATACATTTAGATGGTAGAGCTTGAACAAAAGTTCGACACTACTACTAACTTGGTCGTTGCAATACCCCTATGTTAATAAACAGAGGAGACAATAATAAAATTTTAGACATTATAAAACTAGAAAGGTACCTGGCCACAACCATTGTCCCGTTGGGATTTTTGCCACCACCTCAACGCGTCCATATTTGAACGCAAATGAATTTTTCGTACTCAAACGCGCACTTCGTACTGGATTTATGATGATATTGTTTGACGTTCCTGCTTGACGTTCACAGTTTGCTTTATTGTGGTCGGTGCAATGGATCAAATGAACGTAACCTTGTTCAACTTGGTCATAGCCAATACGATTTGCTGTTAACGTTGGTTTAATATGCAATTTTCCATTTTTTACAAATGCATTTTCTGTATCGTCCACATACCATTGAAACTCTCCATTCTATTTTCAAGCACAAACATTTGTTATTCATTTTTTTCTGTAATTTTCAAAGTATTTTCGTAGACTTTTTGAATGGTTTTGTACTTACGCCACCTCCGCCGAGTGTTACATCAGATCGCCATACAAGTTTGTCCAATTTATCAAAATTTTCTTCGAATATCAAACCACCCGAGCAAATGTCACGTTCGGCAGCAAACCCATTTGCGGTGGTAATTGACGGTTTACAATTGTTTGGCTTAATGAAAGTCTGATAGAGAAACATGAGCACAATGAAAATGACGCTGAGCACCAATAAAGTGTTCAAAATGACAACAAAAGTTACTTTCAGCATTTTTATTTTCTTCTGTTTCACGTGTGTGACAACGTTCCCTTTTACCAACACAAATTGAACTAATGAACATTCAACCGGGCACCACTTCAATATTCATGCTCGAAGTGGCCTATATAGTAGAGTTGATGCGTAATTCCGTTCATAATGACCGTACACATTCAAGTGGTTGTTGATTTAGTCAGCACACAATTTAATAATTCACCACGTAGCACCCATTTACGCATCTTAGTAAAAGAGTGTTTGCATGGATTGTGTCACTGGACATGGAATTTCATCGAATACGCATTCAATTAGTTTACAGGCGTATTCTCTCAAATTCTATTGTAGTTAACATATCTTTGTTCTTAATCTGCGTAAAATATTCAATTGCTGGCAGCTACGAACCACTTTTTTTTCATTCGAACAATTCGAACCAAACTATAATAATGTAATGGAAACTAAATGCAGGTAGAGACGATGTGAAAAAAATAGTGTAGAAAAAATTTTAAAATGGGGAAGGTTCTTTGAACTCGAACTGCTCGAAATCGGCTCGTGAGCAGCTCTATTTGCTGCAGAATATGGAATAAGAACAATAAATTTTGGTAGATTTTATTTAACTAAATATTTTATTTTTAATATTAAATTGACTTAGCTATTTCAAAATATTAAATAACCCTATGCAGCCCACACTTTTATTGAATCAACAATCAGAGAACTGTCATCGCCTTCCAAGTCCCATGTTGGTAGCCACTGCTCACGATTGGCCCAAAAATCTTTCATAGCTGATGGAGATGTATCGTTCCATGGCTTTGGTCCATTTTCATTTAGAAAATCCGATGGAAAGTAGTTAGTTGTGCCTCCAACGGCAAGATTTATGATGAAATGGAACTGCACACAAGTTGAAAATGGAAATATTAAATTTTTTTTGATTTTGAGTCAAATACGATTTTTAAAAAAACAATTCACCTTTTGATCGAATGGAGCCATCTTTGTGCCTGATGCCCAGATGTCATTCCCCTGGAAATCACCACGTTTCCAAAAGCCATCACCGACCGGAACAGATCCAATCTCGGCTCGATCCACATAGAAAATAAAACCCTTTTCATTCCATATAAATTCATAAATGTGAAAGCCGTTGTTGAAGCCGGTTTCATTGATTTTGGCATACGTCGAAGTTTGCCACTTATCCAATTGACTAGATGGACCAAAGTGCAAAGTTGAAGTGGTTCGCTTTGCTCCAAATTGAATGCCATTTAAATCCGTATAATTATTATTGCCACGGGATTCCATCAGATCAATTTCACCAGAGCGAGGCCACAGACCGTACTTTGACACGCGTGGCATAAGCCAAACGGCTGAACAAACAACGAAAAAAAAATGGAAGTATTGTAGAAAATAAAAAAAATGTGGAGAACAAAACATGAGTCATAAATTTTTGTCAATGTTTACTCGCACCGAGCGTGAGTTTCACGCAGCAAATATCCATATCGTTTTTTTCCAGTGCGTAAACATTGAACAAGCTTTTTTTTATGGAGATGATTCACTTTTAGACAATGTAATACACATGTCTCAGATGGAATTTTCTTGAGGTAATTTCAGAAATTGTTGTCTTTGACAAAAATGCGCGTGAATTCCAGCGAGCCATCGAACATAAAGAGGTGTACCGGTACCTGGCCACAGATAATCAGCGGTGGGTAGTTTCGCAATCACTTCGACTCGGCCGTACTTGAAAGAAAAGGACTTTTCTGTTGTAAGGCGAGCACTTTGTACAGGGTTAATGATGATATTGCCACCAGCTTGACGTTCACATTGTGTTTTATCTGGATCGGTGCAATCATCCAAACGAACATAACCGTGTTCCACTGCGTCGTAGCCGATTTTATTCGCAGTGAGCGTTGGTTTGATGTACAATTTTTTATTTTTCACAAAGCTATTCACATCATCAGCGGTGTACCATTCAAATTCACCATTCTGTCAACAGTTCAAAACAGAGTTATTATTTTTTTCCAATTTGATTTTCTAAGCACTTCATACTTACGCCGCCACCCCAGAACGTTACTTCAGGTTGCCATTTGCGTTTGTCTAATGTCTCAAAATTCTCTTCAAATATCAAATTCCCCGCACAAATTTCGCCGGACACAGCAAACTCTCCACTTGCCGTTGTAATGGTCGGTTTACAGCCACTCGAACTAGGGTATATGATCAAAAGCACAATAAAAATTATTGCAACTATGAAGAAAATGCTCAACAAAACTAAACAAGTAATTCTCAACATATTTCCTTTGTCTTTTTCAAAACGAATATTCTCTTGTTCCGACCACAAATCGAACTGATGAGCACTGAGTTAATCGACTCTTAAATGTTCACGGTTGAAATGTATCATGTGTTTGTGTGACACTTTCAGTAGGTTGCGTGTCATTCATCCATATACGCGTTTCCCTGGTGGCTAATGACTATGATTGCACACACATTTTAATAATTCATGAAGCAAATCATTCATTTATACAATACACAGACGGCTCTTTGTGATACGACAATTACAACCAGCACAATTTGCACGGACTGTGCCGTATGTGTCATCAGAAATTTCAATTGTTATTGAATTCAATTCTGCTTTGCAATTATTCTTTTTTCCGACTCTCATAATAAACGACTGACACACACTTTGTCTTGTGGAATTCATAGGATAAATAAAGATTCGATTTTATTGACTTTGTTTTTCTATTAACAAATATGGGTTCTGTTTGAAAATGAATGGAATAATTTTGTTTAAATAGCCCAAACTCGAATTGAATCGATGACCAGTGAACTATCGTCGTTATGAATGTTCGAAGAAGGTAGCCACATCGAAAGATTCCAAAATTCTTTCATGGCTGATAGAGTGTGGAAAATTCGATTTTTTGGGACATTTTGACTGATTAAAAGTGATTGTCTCGAACAAAATAAGCAACTGCAGTTAACTTTAATCACAAATCACTCTTAGTCAAAATGTCCCAAATTATTCGACTGACTGAAAGAATAACTAAACGTGATTGTCTCCATACAAAACGCATGATTTCAATCAACTTAGCCAGTTTTAGTTGTGTATCACTACATACAGTTACATATAACTGAGTGACTGTTAGTCATTTTATTTGCACACGGGGATGTATCATTCCACGGCTTCTTCCCATTTCTGTTCTTGAATTCGGGGAAAAATCCATTTGTGTCCATGTTGGCCAGCCGCCAACTTGACGATGATGTAAAACTGTATCGTGAAATTAATTGGGTTAAATTTAAATTATAAAATCCAGTTTCAATTTCATCTACAGAAAATTTGATTCCATTCCCATCTCAAAAGAGTTCATACTTATGAAAGCCGGTATTGTAACTGCTTTCATTGTTTTTTGGAAACATTATCTTCTCAACGGCAAAGGTCTGTTGATTTGATTGTCGTCCGAAATATAGTGATGACATTATGTGCTCAACACCCATCTCAAGGTCGTTATCGTCTTTGTATTCAATATTACCTCGGCACTCAAGCAAATCTATTTGAGCAGATTGAGGCCATTCATATTTTGAGTCTCTTGGCATGAGCCATAATAATGGATTATGGTGTCTCCGTCAGCCTGGCGTTTAAAGTTCTCTTGATGTGAGTCTGTGCAATCACTCAAATAAATATGTTCCAATTGATAGGTGCCTATTTTGGCATGTTTTAACGTCGATTTAATGTGCAATTTTCCATCTCCTACCTCCGAATCTGCGGTATACCATTCAAACTGACAATTCAATAAAGAAAAATGGAGTTGAAAAAAACAACCATGATATCACAATCTAACTCTTTTCGACTTACACTACCCATCGAAAATGATACTGCTGAATGCCATTTATATCTGTCCAAACTGTCGAAATGTTCTTCAAACAACAAATCACCCGAACATACCATGTACGGAGCAGCAAAACCGGCAACAGTTGTAACAGAAGTTTTACACGTTTTTAAACAGAAAAGCCAAACCATTAACCTAAATGAAAATGCTGATGAAAGCCAACAAAACGATTAATCCACTGAATTCCGATTTGTAGCGCATCATTTCAAAATGTTCCTTTCTTTCGATGAACCATAAAACCATCTTCATCGTGTTCAAATAAATTTTAGACTGGAATATCACGACTCACACGCACTTTGTGACTCACGGACTCGATTCTTGTGGTCGTTTGTTCAACAAAACAGTATTTGTACAGACTCGAATGTTTTACATGGTAAATATTTTTTTTGGCAGAAATTTGTTTTGATATTAAACACAGTACCATTCATTACACGTTGTCAATTTTTTTATTTGATAATAATGCGTTGTTTCGTCGACGCAAATTTCGTTGCTAAAGTACATTAAATTGCCCAGACTTTAACAGAGTCAACAATTAATGAAGATTTCTCCCGCGATCTCCATGTTTGAAGCCACTGACTGCGGCCCGTCCAGAAATCTTTCATGCCAGTCGGTGATTGATTACGCCAAGGTTTCGGTCCATCTTTATTGTTGACATTATCGGGGAAATAGCCATTGGTGCCTCCAATTGCCAAGTTTATGATGAAATGGAACTACGACGGAAGAAAAAATGATCAAATTCAATTTTTGAAACAAAATACCTCGAAAAATGTTCACTCACTTCTTGATCGAATGGTGCCATTTTTTCGGATTGTGCCCAAATATTGTCGCCACTAAAACCACCACGTTTCCAAAAACCGTCGCCAAGCTCAGCAAATCCTAGCTCAATTCCGTCTACAAAGAACTTGATTCCATTTTCATTCCAAACCATTTCGTATTTATGAAAATCTTTATCGAATCCAGATGCATTATTTCTTGAGTATGAAGCCGTTTGGTACGCATCCATATCCCAGCGTGGCCCAAAATGAAGTGTACTGAATACCTCTTCTGCACCAATTTGCTGTTCATTTCCATACTTTTCGTTGCCTCGAGATTCCAACAAGTCAATTTCACCGCTTCGCGGCCACCCTCCATATTTCCATTGAGTGGGCAGAAGCCATACAGCTAAATAGACAAACAAGACGCCGGTATTCAAATTAAGTGGTAAAAATCTGTGTGCATTCATTAATTTTGATTATGTTTTTATCATTTCAAAAAATACAACATAAAACTAGAAAGAAAGAAATATAATTTCACCTGGCCAAAGCCAATTGCCCTGGGGTGTTTTTGCAACGACCTCTGCACGTCCATACTTGAATGAAAATGATTCGTGGGTTCTCAAACGGGCACTTCGTACCGGATTGATAATTTTATCACCGCCAGCTTGGCACTCACAGTGCGATTTATCTTGATCGGTGCAATCATCCAAACGAATATGACCGTTTTCGACTGCATCATAACCGATTTTATTCGCTGTGAGCGTTGGTTTTATGTGCAACTTTCCATCTTCCGCGTAACTATTTTCATCGTCAGAAACATACCATTGAAACTCTCCGTTCTGTTACCATAGAGACATAGCATATTTTAATCAAAATTTTGTTTTAATAACTGCGAATATCACACTTACACCACCTCCCCACAATGTCACTTCCGGCTTCCACTTAGTTTTGTCCAAACTGTCGAAGTTTTCTTCAAAAATCAACTGCCCCGAGCAAATTGTCTTGGGTGCAGCCCAACCGCTAGCTGTTGTAATTGATGGCTGGCAATCGTCTGCCAATGAAAATGCTGAAATGCTCAGCAGCAGCACAACAACTAATTTTAGCATTTTGTTATATTCTCTTCTCACAGCTAAATCTAAACTGATCACGTCGTAACACAGCGCCTATTAAATAAGCTGCTGATTATCAGATTACTAATAAAAAACAAGTATTCAGAAGCCAAAAAACATTTACGATTCATTCGTTTATATCATATAATACACTGGGATCTTTACAAATATTTGTGTGATTATGACCTCATAGTTCTACAAAAAAAGTCTTCTTAAAATAAAAGCAAAAAAAACTCATATCAATATTTTAATTAGAAAAGAAGCGACGAGTTTACATGCAAATAAAAACAAAGCACAATCAGAGATGAACCGAGGCCGTAACATTGAATTGAAAACGAGTTTTAAATATAAATAACTAAACATGTAACAAAAATGTTAAGTTTCATGCGACGTTCGATTGAACGCTTCAAAATTATATATCAATTTGTTTATTTGCGTGTTCAAACCACAAATCGAACAAGTTGCGATCCTAACGGTTCATCGAAATGTAAATAACAATGTAAACTGAATAGGCTAACAGGTGTTTTATATCAACTATACAAATCGAGACAAATCAACATCATGGCAATGAAATATGAAACTTGTTGATCATGCTCAAAGTGTGTTAACCTGTTGTGTCAATTGATGTTACGCTTGGTGAAATTCACCTACACATTGGATGCTTTTTTTAGAAATTAAACTTTCTTTCGACGACGAAAAGAATCTAGGCAAATATAATTCGTGTGTGAAATAAATGTTTATTTATTTGGATTTGGCGAAAAAATGTTCATCAAATCTTTGCAACAATAAACTTATAAATAGTCATACAATTGAGGAAGAAATAAATGAATTTCAGCGTGGATTTTATCTTATCTGTTATATTTTGAAAACAAGGTAAAATTTGTGAGTTCATCAAAATTTTTATTATTAGGCATGTAAAAACAAGAAAAAATTTCACAAATAACTGATGTTCACTTCAAAAGATACCTACACTTGAATTTCATATTAACGACATGACTTTCGTAATTCATATCAATTGTGCGATGTCATCGCCTCGAATGTTGTGATCAGAGAGCCGTGACTTTAACAGATTCCACAATTAGCGACGATTTGTCGCCCGAATTCCAAGACTTTTGCCATTGGTTCCGTTGTGACCAGAAGTCTTTCATTGCTGTCGGTGACCCATTACGCCATGGTTTTGGTCCGTTTTTGTTCGCCAAATCATCAGGGAAATAGCCATTGTTTGCGCCAACTGCCAAGTTTATGATGAAATGGAACTACAAACGAAGAAAGAACGATCAAATTCAATTGTTGAAACAAAATACTAAGAACAATGTTCACACACTTCTTCATCAAATGGAGCCATTTTTGTCCCTTGTGCCCAAATATCTTGACCCTGGAAACCACCACGTTTCCAAAATCCCTCATCCACTTTTGCAAATCCAAGCTCAGTGCCATCTAAGAAAAATTTGATCCCTTGCTGATCCCAAGTAAAGCTGTATGTATGAAAACCCTTGTCGTAACCAACTGGATTATTTCTTTCGTAATGCGCTGTTTGCCATCGGTCTTGATGGATGAAATAATATGTTGTAATTAAATAATTGAAAGTAATTCATCAGCTGAATGCTTAATGCTGAATACAAAAATTAATTGTACCAAGGGAATATGTCAATCCTACCTTGGTCCCATTTCGGTCCGAAATGAAGCGTTGAAAACACCTGTTCGACACCAATTTGCCATCCATTTCCATATTTTTCATTTCCACGCGACTCCAACAAGTCAATTTCACCGCTTCGCGGCCACCCTCCATATTTCCATTGAGTGGGCAGAAGCCAGATCGCACCCCACAGCCAGTCACCTAAGGGTGTTTTTGCCACCACCTCGACATGTCCATATTTGAAAGAGAATGATTCGTGGGTTCTCAAACGAGCACTTTTCACTGGATTAATAATTGTGTTTCCGCCAGCTTGACGCTCACAATTCGCTTTGTCTTGATCTGTGCAACCGTTTAAGCTAACGTGACCATGTTCGACTGCATCTTGGCCAATTTTATCTGCCGTTAGCGTGGGCTTTATGTGTAATTTTCCATCTTTTGCAAAACTGTTTTCATTATCAACATCATACCATTGGAACTCTCCATTCTGCTATGAGAAACATAGAGGCGTAAAGTATCTAAAAACGACCACGCTTAGTTTTGTTCTAATGATTTACTTACACCGCCACCTCCAAGCGTTACTTCTGGTTTCCACTTATTTTTATCCAACGTGTCGAAATTTTCTTCGAAAATCACTTGGCCTGCACAAATTTTCTTGGGCGCCGCCCAACCGCTAGCTGTTGTCGCCGATGGTCTGCAATAATCAGCGAACGAAAACGCTGAAATACTCAGCAGCACCAAAATTGACTTCAACATGATTTTTTCCGAATGTTCTCCTCTCATTGTCCAACGCAAACTGATCTGCTAATGATCCGAGGCCAGTTAAATATGCTGCTGATTATTCGTTTAGTAAATACTGAAAAAAAACAAGTTTTTTCGATAACAGTAAACACTCATGAAATAATGATAAAAACATAAACGGCTTAAGATGCATTATCCAATTAAATCTTGTAGATATGCAAGTACAAGTCGTAATTTGAGAAATTTCCCAAAAAATGAATAATATTACTAAAAAAAACCAGTAGTCGTTCGTATTTCGGAAAACCCAATGATAAAAAAAATTAAAAGAATATTTATTTCGCTAAAGTCATGATAATTTTTTACCCGATATAAAAAATGCGCATTTGTGGTCTGGTTTCAATTATCATGGATTTTTTACGCAGCAACATATGCTGCCGTTTTAGCTGGCCCACACTTTAACTGAATCAACGATAAACGATTACTCTTCTTTATTGACCCATGATGGCAACCATTGTTTGCGACCTCTCCAAAAATCTTTTGCCGCTGTGTGGGTGACTCTTCACTCCATGGCTTGTTGGTGTCATCGTTGTCAGGGAAGAATTTACCCGTACCACCAATTGCCAAATTTTTGCAGTTTCGAGCATGGACGAAGAATGAATTGCTCAGTAGCACAACAAGTATTCAGAACATTTTGCTTTTTAATAGCTAATTGCGTGCGACGCAAATCGAACTGATCTCGGATTACACGGTGGGTCTCCGCTTGAATACAAGTTTACGCAGAGTACTTTTTTTCTCTATTTTTCCCTCCACATTATATGACGCAAAAACGTAATCAACTTCTATAGAATACTGGAACGATAACAAGCAAGGCACGCACTAGTTTTTGTGAATTCGCTTCCAAAATAACCATTCAATTTCCCGATTTAAAACTGAAATTGTATGAAAATCAACTTACATTTCTCAAGACTCATAAAAATGTTTCCTTATACCTACTTCCAAAGACTTGATAAGTGATTTTTATCACATTTGAGGCGATCACTGTTAAGATAATATCGTTTGTTAGAAATAAAAGGCATTCAGAATGAAAAGTTTCCAATTTATTTTTCCTTAACTTTGATTTCGAAGATTGTTGTTCCTATATTATAATTAAGTTTAACGAAAGGTTGTACATGTAATAATAGATTGTATTGCCCAGCATTGGTATAATAATTTCTAATCATCCAAAAGATTGAAAAAAAAACATTTCAAAATTTTGGGAGTGAGTGTTAGTGATTCCATTATAATGCATCGTATCGTTTGCGGTGAAAATGACACCTTCCATTTTGCGATCCTTGCAGTTTGTTGTTGTATTGATTTCAGCCAATTGAAACAAGGGCTATAAAAGGATGTTTGTAATTTGAATGTGCAAAAATGTTGTCACAAAAATGTCGCCAACAATCGCAACATTAGAACAAAGGAGATATTTGAAAGTTTAAGTGAGATCAGCATATTATCAGATAAACAAGACTTGCCAAGTAGTTCTGAACATTTGAATACGATTGGTAGCAAAGCGGCTGGTCATCGACAGCATCATCTGATTTCGCTTCATCGAACACAGCAGTCAAATCAACAGTTCACGCCAAGTCACGCAGTTTGAATGGCAAAGAAGAAATGGATAGAAATTTTTCAAACCAAACCATTGCTCTACCGATTGATGATAGTGGTAAACTACTGTCGGCAGAACCAACATTTCCAGTATATTTGAATATGAGGATGCTCGCAAAACGGCTGGTGAATCGCAGATCGCAATTACATGGATGAAACGAGAGATAATGCCACCGATTGATAGTAGTGGTAAGGTAGAACCGAACGATTTCAACTTCATCAAAGTGCTCGGCAAAGGATCGTTTGGCAAAGTGATGTTGGCCGAAAAGAAAGGCACTGATGAACTATATGCAATTAAAGTGCTGAGAAAGTACATCATCATTCAGAAAAATAGCATCGATTACACCATGAGAAAAAAACACATTCTACCACTGGCTCCTAAGGTCCATTCTGACTGGCATTTGTGCTTTCAATCAACACTGCCGTTCATTACAACAACAAAGTTTTACTGCACTAGAGGAAATCGCAATTGCGCCATCACTGGCTTAACTAACTGAAGCGATAGTACGTAATTAGCTTTTGCTTTATTGTAGGTACTACTGATTCAGTGGGTCAATATGGCCTCTTTACAGTTTACAATTCTGAATCTTTGCGAAAATATTCTTAAAATTAGTTTACAATTCCTTTTTGTACTATACAGGTCATTTTTCAATTATACTGATAATTTTCTTATTGAGTACTTCATTAAATAATAATTTGTGACCATTGTGAAATAATAAGTTTCCAAGTACAATTACAGTAAAATCTGTCAATAACGGAGCCCGTATATAGTGGATTTCTTGCCAATAATGGAAAAAATGTCCCCATGTGATTTCGTGATTGTCAGGTTTTACAGTACATTGAAACAATTGTCACTGTTCATATGAATTTCTTTTGATACACTCAATGGAGCTGCCTGCTGATACAACCCCATAGTGTCAACAATTCAGAATTATCAATCTAATTGTGCGTGGGTGCGAGCTGCCGTCGAAATGAGTTATAAGACTCAATCTTCTAAATATTTCGAGTGGCTTAATTTTATGTATCTTAATAAATTTTGCACGATTTTAGTTTTTTACATGTTCTAATTCACGTATATGTAAATACTTCATATCACTTATTGATGAGCGTAAGTACGAACGAGATAAGACTATCAAACAAAATCAACAAGTTTTTCATTCAAGACCAACATTTTCATTGGGAAGCAAAAATTAAGGGAATTCGTCTTAATTGGTGCCAGTTATCACACATCGTTTCATATCAGAGTCAACACTGGTTCCTGAATTTCGCATCAAAATTCAATGTGTTCTTAGGAATTTTCTGGAATTCAAACGCAAAAACACGATAGGATCAAATGAATTTAATTAATTGAGCAATAATGAATTAAATAACTGAAATATGACATACACTATATACTATATCAGTAGACGAGTTGGGGCGCTAGTGTGTACATTTAAAAACATTGAATCGATACGTACCACTTAAATCCGGAATGGTGGTTTGACACGGCTCAATTCCAACGATTCTAAATCGAAATCCTTGAAAAACTGATGATTTCTGATTCATTTTCAGAGCATCCTAATCGATATGACGGACTTTTTGTCAGGTGTACCGCAGAATGTGGACGTCAAAATAAATGCCATAAATTATTCCCATCTGGAGAAAAATAGCATTTATTTTTAGCGATTTCATTGTTTTGCTTCACAAAATCCATTTGGATTTTCCAATTTTCTTACCTTGTACATGCCAAAATCGGAATTACTTTTTTTCTGAATGATGATGTACTTTCTCAGCACTTTAATTGCATATAGTTCATCAGTGCCTTTCTTTTCGGCCAACGCCACTTTGCCAAACGATCCTTTGTCAAGTAATTTGATGAAGTTTAAATCGTTTGGGCCTACCTTACCACTATTATCAATCGGTGGCATTATCTCTTGTTTCATCCATGTAATTGCGATCTACGATTCACCAGCCGTTTTGCGAGCAGCCTCAATCAAATATACTGAAAATGTTGGTTCTGCCGCCAGTAGTTCACCATTATCATCAATCGGTAGAGCAATGGTTTGGTTCGAACAATTTCTATCAACTTCATTTTCGCCACTCAAACTACGTGACTTGGCGTGAACTGTTGATTTGACTGCTGTGTTCGATGAAGCGAAATCAGATGATGCTGTCGATGACCAGCCGCTTTGCTACCAATCGTATTCAAATGTTCAGAACTACTTGGCAAGTCTTGTTTATCTGATAATATGCTGATCTCACTTAAACGTTCAAATGTCTCCTTTGTTCAAATGTTGGGATTGTTGGCGACATTTTTGTGACAACATTTTTGCACATTCAAATTACAAACATCCTTTTATAGCCCTTGTTTCAATTGGCTGAAATCAATACAACAACAAACTGCAAGGATCGCAAAATGGAAGGTGTCATTTTAGGTACCGCAAACGATACGATGCATTATAATGGAATCACTAACACTCACTCCCAAAATTTTGAAATGTTTTTTTCAATCTTTTGGATGATTAGAAATTATTATACCAATACTGGGCAATACAATCTTTTATCACATGTACAACTTTTTTAATCAAAACATATGGATTAATTTATTCGTTAAACTTAATTATAATATAGGAACAACAGTTTTCGAAATCAAAGTCAAGGAAAAATAAATTCAAAACCACGAGCAAACGATGTTGACTCGAACACGTCTGCCTTCCAAATGAATAAAATTATGCATCGAATCTTTGAAAGTAAGCGCGTAAGATAATAGCGGAGGAATTCTGCGAGAATGGGAGAAATCTGTGGAAAATTCCGGCTAATAATGTAATAACGTCTGAGTGCTATGGAACAATTATAGACGTAGGCAACAAGGATTATCCAATTGAAAAATAGAAAAGCATAATATCGAATAAAAGAATACAACATTTAACATTGTGATGAAGACAGCCTCAGAATTTTGAAGACTTATCTTTCGTTCGATTTAGAGAAAGCTCCTTGAGAAGAACGAGAAAAACAATCATTTTGGAAATTGATCTTATACATGGAAAATATTTCAGTTTAGCAAAATAAACTTCTTCGCGATGCAAAACACTTCAATCAAAAATAAACCGCTTCGTGTGGAGGTTGCAACAGGGTGACATTCCTTTTGTTCTAATTCACAAATGAACCACAAGGCAGATGCTAGACTCCTAACGCCATCTATTGATTTTTCTAGAAATCATTAAAAGTACTGAGCTTCATGTCAAGTCTACTGTTAAGTCTAAACCTTAGACTTAACATCCCTATGTAAACCCGTACACAGTTTCTTATAATACTGCTTCTTCTTCTTCACACTGTCGTACACAATGGGCGCGGCCATATTGAAAACGTATACAGTGTATTGAGTGCCATTTGTGAACATTATAACCAATATGGCGACTTACATGTATAGATGTGTTAGTT